TTCAATTAAATTAGATAGGGTTTGTTATAACACCGAAACAGATGATATTTTTAGAGATAATTTATCAATCAAACGTACTGTATTTTTCAACAAAGAATTCAAAGGAAACATATTCCTTTTACTTAAACAAGAGTGCACATGCTGAAATGTCTCACCTGCTTTACTGATCATTGATTTTATGTTGATAGTCCTAAATATAAAGCTTTATTACAAGAATCATATAAACTTAACATGATCCAAGAAAATGAGACCAAGGTCAGATAAACCAAACAGGAAATACATGCACATCTTACAATCATTCCATACACAAAATATAGTTGACCTTTTGCCTACAGTTCTTTTTAAAGAAACAAACTTAACCAGGAAAATTTAACATTGACCAATGAACCATGAAAATGAGGTCAAGGTCAGATGATACCTGCCAGACAGACATGTACACCTAACAATCATTCCATAACCAAATATAGTTGACCTATTGCTTATAGTTTAAGAAAACCAGACCAAAACACAAAAACTTAACACTAAGCAATGAACAGTGAAAATGAGGTCAAGGCCAAATAAAACCTGCAAGACTGACATGTACCTATTTCCATACACCAAATATAGTTGACCTATTGCATATAGTATTAGAAAAAAAGATCAAAACGCAAAAACTTACTTTAACCACTGAACCATGAAAATGAGGTCAAGGTCAAATGACATCTGCCAGTTGGACATGTACATCTTACAATCAAGAGAAAACTGTCTGACAGACACGAGGACCTTGCAAGGTAGGCACATACCAAATATAGTTATCCTATTACTCATAAGAGAGAAAATAAGAATACTAAAAATCCTAACTTTTTTTTCCAGTAGTCACTGAACCATGAAAATGAGGTCAAGGGCAATGGACATATGACCGACTGAAACTTCATAACATAAGGCATCTATATACAAATTATGAAGGATCCAGGTCTTCTACCTTCTGAAATATTAAGATTTTAAGACGTTTTTTAACGCTGCCATGGCCGCTGCCACCGGATCACTATCCCTATGTCGAGCTTTCTGCGACAGAAGTAGCAGGCTCGACAAATACTAAATATACATAAAATAAAATGTAAGACTGCATGTATTTATTGCAGTTTGACTTAAAACGTCGACAAGATTTTAAGGATGAATTAATTGTTACAAACATAGTACATATGTTTTGTTGGAGAAATGCTTAGTAGATCAAAATATAATAGTGGCAGTTTAACACATGATGATGACAGATCTGTCATATAAGTAATTGATAAAGAATTTGAATAGGACCATATTGATATATGTGAATATTTAAATATTTCATTATTTTATTGTAATGCATCTCAAGAAGACCATCCAAAGCTTTAACCGTAAGGTTTAAAGAATTTGGGTAAAAAACTATAACATTATACAGATACCCACTTCTCCATGATATTGGTTTCGCTTTCAATAAAACACCAAAAAAGAAAATATTTAGACCTTGTATTTGTGAAAGTATTTTTCTCTGTGACAATTCCAACATTTTCTTGTCAATCACATGTAGTTTCATTACACGTAGTCAATACTTACACCTTGGTATAGTATATCTGGGACTATTTTTTACTTTCTATGTATTAAATAATCGTTTCTTTTATAACAGTAGTCCAGCGGTGAGGAAGTTTAGGTGACATATATTGAATTGTTTGCCTACTAGGCTTCACATCAGTCTTTTCAAGAATAAATGCTCTCAACCCCTTTTCAATCCAAAAGCCTCGATTTTTCTGAATCTGATCTCCACTTGACTTGTAAGATCCACCCTAGAATTATGAATCAGTAGCTGTCATCAGGAATGGAAATACCTTCTGATGTCATTATAAAACATGTATCAAACATAGCGATACATACACTGAATGGAAATACCTTCTGATGTCATTATAAAACATGTATCAAACCTAGCGATACATACACAGAATGGAAATACCTTCTGATGTCATTATAAAACATGTATCAAACCTAGTGATACATACACTGAATGGAAATACCTTCTGATGTCATTATAAAACATGTATCAAACCTAGCGATACATACACTGAATGGAAATACCTTCTGATGTCATTATAAAACATGTATCAAACCTAGTGATACATACACTGAATGGAAATACCTTCTGATGTCATTATAAAACATGTATCAAACCTAGCGATACATACACTGAATGGAAATACCTTCTGATGTCATAATAAAACATGTATCAAACCTAGCGATACATACACAGAATGGAAATACCTTCTGATGTCATTATAAAACATGTATCAAACCTAGCGATACATACACAGAATGGAAATACCTTCTGATGTCATTATAAAACATGTATCAAACCTAGTGATACATACACTGAATGGAAATACCTTCTGATGTCAATATAAAACATGTACCAAACATAGGGATACATACACTGAATGGAAATACCTTCTGATGTCATTATAAAACAGGTATCAAACCTAGCGATACATACACAGAATGGAAATACCTTCTGATGTCATTATAAAACATGTATCAAACATAGCAATACATACACTGAATGGAAATACCTTCAGATGTCAATATAAAACAGGTATCAAACCTAGCGATACATACACTGAATGGAAATACCTTCTGACGTCATTATAAAACATGTATCAAACCTAGTGATACATACACTGAATGGAAATACCTTCAGATGTCAATATAAAACATGTATCAAACATAGGGATACATACACTGAATGGAAATACCTTCAGATGTCAATATAAAACATGTATCAAACATAGGGATACATACACAGAATGGAAATACCTTCAGATGTCAATATAAAACATGTATCAAACCTAGCGATACATACACAGAATGGAAATACCTTCTGATGTAATTATAAAACAGGTATCAAACCTAGCGATACATACACTGAATACATACACTGAATGGAAATACCTTCTGATGTCAATATAAAACATGTATCAAACATAGCGATACATACACTGAATGGAAATACCTTCAGATGTCAATATAAAACATGTATCAAACATAGGGATACATACACAGAATGGAAATACCTTCAGAACATACACAGAATGGAAATACCTTCAGATGTCAATATAAAACATGTATCAAACCTAGCGATACATACACAGAATGGAAATACCTTCTAATGTCATTATAAAACATGTATCAAACATAGGGATACATACACAGAATGGAAATACCTTCTGATGTCATTATAAAACATGTATCAAACCTAGCGATACATACACTGAATGGAAATACCTTCTGATGTCATTATAAAACAGGTACCAAACCTAGCGATACATACACTGAATGGAAATACCTTCTGATGTCATTATAAAACATGTATCAAACCTAGTGATACATACACTGAATGGAAATACCTTCTGATGTCATTATAAAACAGGTACCAAACCTAGCGATACATACACAGAATGGAAATACCTTCTGATGTCATTATAAAACATGTATCAAACATAGCGATACATACACTGAATGGAAATACCTTCTGATGTCATTATAAAACAGGTACCAAACCTAGCGATACATACACAGAATGGAAATACCTTCTGATGTCATTATAAAACAGGTACCAAACCTAGCGATACATACACAGAATGGAAATACCTTCTGATGTCATTATAAAACATGTATCAAACATAGCGATACATACACTGAATGGAAATACCTTCTGATGTCATTATAAAACAGGTACCAAACCTAGCGATACATACACTGAATGGAAATACCTTCTGATGTCATTATAAAACAGGTACCAAACCTAGCGACACATACACAGAATTTATAAAGGCTGTGCAGACAATATAAACTTGATTATACATTCAACAAGCAAGCAAAACAAACTTATGTTTAAATTAACATCCCCAGATTAAAATATAATCAATCACAACACCCTATAAAAATTAAACTACAGTATTTCACATCAAAAGAACAAACTTTTGGTGGCAGCCAGTTAAGCTCCCCAAATGGCCTTCATACTTCAAGTAATGGGTTTCTTAGTATCCGAAGTAGCCTTCAATACATGTATGTGCTGAGGGTAAAATACAGACCATCACACTATCTCAGTTTGTTTCCTGTTTTAGGCAGTATGTTTTCTGCCACAATAACATTTCAAACTAAATATTCATAGGGACTCACCATATCTGTACTCCCATTCGTGTCTTTCTCAGTGAACATTTGACTCTAGTATAGAACAATAACTGTTGTTTGATGCATTCGACAGGAGAAAATGTTGAAAAAATTTGGCCTAACTTGAAAAAAATTATGAAGTTTAAAAAAAAGTTGCTATACATTAGATATTTTTAAAAGTGAATTTGAACATTTCCATTGTTTGCATTCTGGGTTGTTTGCATTCTGGGTATTTCTCATTTTAGTAAAACTTTAGAATTTGATTAATCTAAAGTGCACTTTCAAGTTGCACTAACAATTTTACTGTTTTAATTCAAGCTTCACTGATGAGTTTTATGTAGACAAAATGCACGTCAATATCAAATTCTTAGCATTGTATCGTTGATGAGTTTTAAATATAATGGTTTACTTTGACCTATAATGGTTTACTTTTAAAAATTGTGACTTGGATAGAGAGTTGTCTCATTGGCACTCATACCACATCTTCTTATATCTATAAAACTATAGCAAAAATATACTGGATTGTGATGTGATTGTAAATAAGAGCTATCCACAGAATACCTAAGGACAAAGATGCATACAGACTTCAACAATGAGAAAAAACCCAAATATTATATAGTGTTAAAAAAAGATCAGTCCATACAAGTTACAGGGGTAGTGCAATTAGCCACATAAGACAGTTCCGAATAAAATAAAAGGATGAACTATACTATAGACTCATCAGAATCAGCTGTGACTCACCACTTCAAAAAGTGTTAAATCCCAGGACTCACCCTAAACATATCCTAGCGAGAAACCCGGCAATTCATTAAAAAAAATAATCCACAGGATATTTTTTATAATTATTTATTAATCTAAGTATTCAAACAATTTGGCCTTTTGGAAATCAGTTCAGCTTATAAATATACTTTTAGTTTCTAAAAATCTGTTTTGAAAGTCTGTAAAGTTATCAAATAAAAATTGTTGTGAAAGAGCAATAAAATGTATTAACTTTTCAATAGGTTTACAAATATGATTGATGTTGTAAACAAAAATAGAAAAATACTAACACAAGAGAAAAAGTGATGACTATTGTTAAGTATATGCTGCCACAATATTATTATATAATAATCATAATTCAGTTCTCTTAATATTGTATACAAATAATATAACGTCACAGTACCCAGATTGCACCGAGTACCCAAATTGCACCTTTTTAGAAAAAATAGCAGCGAAAATTCAACAAGTTTCCTTAGGGACTAAACAATTTGTATTTTTTTATTATTTGACATTATGCTCGTCTTTCAAATAGGTAAATATATTTAAATATTCACATAACGTTCACAGTATACATCAACAGATGAAGTACTCACTCGAAAAAGTAAACCTACGGAAACGTTGCCATGCATGGTCCACAAAATGAGCAAATAAAATATGTTACGAGCATCCATTTCTTAAAAAATTCATAAGGGTTCCACGGAACCCAGTGTCTCGCCTACTTTTGCTGTTGTCTATGTAATCTTTTGATTGTAAGAAGATAGTTTATGAATCTAATAAATGTTTTAAAAACTTTAACTGCAGACTGTATTTAATGTTAACTCGAAGAAAAACTAAGTCCATTTATAAGTAAAATACGGATAAACAGGTACAAAATTTTAACAAAATTTCCTTCTTGATATTAGCTTTTGATCATTAACAAGCTTCAGTCCAAGTTTGGTACAAATCCAGGATAGTTTAAGAAAGTTATTAAAATTTTAAAAACTTTAACCACAGAGTGAATGTATTGTTTCCTGGCGGAAAAACTAAGTCCATTTATAAGTAAAATACGGAAAAAATAAATTTTTTTTGAACAAATTTACTTCTGGATACTATCTTATGATCATAAACAAGCTTCTGTCCAAGTTTGGTACAAATCCAGGATAGTTTAAGAAAGTTATTAAAATTTTAAAAACTTTAACCACAGAGTGAATGTAATGTTTCTCGGCAGAAAACTAAGTCCATTTACAAGTAAAATACGGAAAAACAGGAATTTTATTTTTACAAAATTTACTTCTGGGTAGGATCTTATGATCATAAACAAGCTTCTGTCCAAGTTTGGTAGAAATCCAGGATAGTTTAAGAAAGTTATTAAAATTTCAAAAACTTTAACCACAGAGTGAATATTTGTGGACGCCGCCGACGGAATGTAGGATCGCTATGTCTCGCTTTTTCGACTAAAGTCGAAGGCTCGACAAAAATGAATAGTAAGCATAGACTAATGTCAAATTGTTCTAAATATTTGAAGAAACATAACAAAACATCTGTTATTCGGTTTTTAAGGATGCGAATTGAAGCATGGATGCAATTTGGGTACTCCTCATTTATACAGAATCATGGATCGTTTGGAGGTCGGTTCAAACCCATTTTTCTATGATTCAATATGGATTCAAAATTAAATTGGTGGAACTATATAGTAAATAAGGAAACATCTACAAAAATAAACACAGAATGGAAACTTTTGTCTGGATCATAAATAAACGTAGGTGAAAAAACTGTCAAAATAGGTGCAATTTGGGTACCCTCACATTAGATATTTCTTCTAGTAAGCTGGAATGGAGTTAAACATGATACAGAATACGAGACACTATAGTGTCAATCTATTCACAAAAACATCTTACAGGTATTAATCTATTAATCAAGTATTCTTTCAAGAATAACAACATCAAAGAGAAATCAGTTTAACAAATATGTTAATGCTATGTTATTTTCAGTCAAGAGTGATGGAATATTTCCTGTTTAGCATATTTATATTTTTACCCATCATTCCAGAAATAAGAAACCTCTCAAATTTATAATCTAAAATTGTGAAAAAAAACCAGAATATAATGGCTGATTCAAAGTACAGTTAAAAAATATAATTGTATACCCGGTAAATAGACACTCTATTTTCACAAAATCGTCTACTTTTTATTGCTATTATTGATCATTTTAAATATTTCTAATATTGCATAATATTTATTGCTGTAATATCAAACTATACCTGTATTGTATATTCTCTCCTTTAATTTTAAAAACTCACTTTGATATGGGATATACAGGTTTTCATATCAATTAAATGTTCAATGCTTATTTCAAATGTTTATTAAAATATCAGCAGTTTTTTAATGATTGTATCTGTTAAACAACTCATGTAATACTTCTTCCCCATCATCCCACTTCTTTCTTTTAATTAGCAAATATCAGAAAATCTTAAAAATTTAGTTAAAATAAATGCTCTTTTTGAAGTGAAATCTTTGGCCTTAATTTCAAATTCTACACATTTTTTTGTTTATCAAAGACGAAAATATATTTAATGAGGTGTGTATTCAATGAATTTTTGTTAATTATATACAATATACAACATATTAAAAATATAAATTTATATTCAATGATCATAAAGCAGACTACAAAATATACAAATCTTGTTTCATATAAATATTAACAAAAATAAACTGATTGATATGTTTACATCTCATTTACATAAAAAAAAATAAACATGTTCATATTCATCAACTTCAAAGCACTACAAAATGTATAGAAAACTACAACAATTTTTCTCTCATTTTTTTGGGATTCATGATTTTTGTGAAATAAAATATGGAGAGTCAAAGTCTTCCCAATATCGATAGTATATTTGATAAGTGTTACAACACAAAAATACTTTAGGTTATTCTAACTGCCACTTTTTTCTATATTTGATAACTTTAACATTTATTTTAATGTAATAAATGTTCTTTGACAACTGATTCTAAATAGGGGAGGTAAATCCACCTCATCATACATAGGAAACCCTGTAGGGTATTATTTAAGATTTTTTACTATCACTATACCCAATTGTCAAACCTCTCCTTTGCCAATTTATGATGTAACGAGTTCAGGAGGATATTTTCTCAGATTGTCTATAAGTTATTATTAAAAAGTCCATTTGATTGTGTCAGCTTTTGTAAAATAACCCTTATTTTTTTTTACCTGGAATGTAATAGTTTATAATTAATATAAAGTTACATGATATTGTATCAGTAAATATATTACAAACAAGAGTGCACACGCTGAAATGTCTCGCCTTCTTTACTAATCATTGATATTATGTTGATAGTCCTAAATATAAAGCTTTATTACAACTGTCACATAAACTTAACATTAACCAAGTAAACTAAACATTGACCAATGAACCATGAAAATAAGGTCAAGGTCAGATGAACCATGCTAGGCAGGCATGTACAGCTAACAATTCTTCCATACAACAAATATAGTTGACCTATTGCTTATAGTTTAAGAAAAACAGACCAAAACACAAAAACTTAACACTGAGCAATGAACCTTGAAAATGAGGTCAAGGTCAAATAAAACCTGCGTGACTGCCAAATAGATCATAAAATATTTCCATACACCAAATATAGTTGAACTATTGCATATAGTATTAGAAAAAAAGACCAAAACTCAAAAAACTTAACTTTGACCACTGAACCATGAAAATGAGGTCATGGTCAGATGACACCTGCCCGCTAGACATGTACACCTTACAATCATGCCATACACCAAATATAGTAGACCTATTGCATACAGTATAAGAAAAACAGACCAAAACACAAAAACTTAACTATAACCACTGAACCATGAAAATGAGGTCAAGGTCAGATGACACCTGCCAGTTGGACATGTACACCTTACAGTCCTTCCATACACCGAATATACAAGACCTATTGCTTATAGTATCTGAGATATGGACTTGACCACCAAAACTTAACCTTGTTCACTGATCCATAAAATGAGGTCGAGGTCAAGTGAAAACTGTCTGACGGGCATGAGGACCTTGCAAGGTACGCACATACCAAATATAGTTGAACTATTGCATATAGTATTAGAAAAAAAGACCAAAACTCAAAAACTTAACTTTGACCACTGAACCATGAAAATGAGGTCAAGGTCAGATGACACCTGCCCACTAGACATGTTCACCTTACAATCATTCCATACACCAAATAAAGTAGACCTATGGCATACAGTATAAGAAAAACAGACCAAAACACAAAAACTTAACTATAACCACTGAACCATGAAATGAGGTCAAGGTCAGATGACACCTGCCAGTTGGACATGTACACCTTACAGTCCTTCCATACACCGAATATACAAGACCTATTGCTTATAGTATCTGAGATATGGACTTGACCACCAAAACTTAACCTTGTTCACTGATCCATAAAATGAGGTCGAGGTCAAGTGAAAACTGTCTGACGGGCATGAGGACCTTGCAAGGTACGCACATACCAAATATAGTTATCCTATTACTTATAATAAGAGAGAATCTAACATTACAAAAAATCTGAACTTTTTTTTCAAGTAGTCACTGAACCATGAAAATGAGGTCAAGGACATTGGACATGTGACTGACGGAAACTTCGTAACATGAGGCATCCATATACAAAGTATGAAGCATCCAGACCTTCCACCTTCTAAAATATAAAGCTTTTAAGAAGTTAGCTAACGCCGCCGCCGCCGCCGCCGGATCACTATCCCTATGTCGAGCTTTCTGCGACAAAAGTCGCAGGCTCGACAAAAATGATATATGAATTTGAAAGATGCAAACATGTAGTACAAAACTGTGCAAAGCTTTATATAGTTTCTGATATTTAAAAGAATACCATTTTCCATTAGCTCCACAATATAATGCCCAAAGAGTTTATAATACAACAAAGATCAGATTGTCAATAACAACACTGTTCAATATTCAAAACAGCCTCTCCAGCAAATTTAAAAAAAAGGGAGTATTTGCCGATATATATCACATCTCATATTTAACCCTTTATATGGTGGTTTTCTTGATACCAGGGTTTTGACAATTTTCAATCAATTGAATGGTGGTAACTAAGGGAATAAAGGTAAAATAATTGGTGGTAGCTTAGCAAATAAAAGGTGAAATGTTTGCTGGTAGCTTAGCAAATAAAAGGTGAAATGTTTGCTGGTAGCTTAGCAATAAAAGGTAAAGAACAAAAAAAGAAAAAAAAGAAAAAAAAGTTTAAAGTTATTGGTATCTGTTCAGTGAGAAAAAGTAGCAAATACCTTGCAGGTAGTTATACATAGTAAATACCTTGCAGGTAGTTATATATAGTAAGTACCTTGCAGGTAGTTATACATAGTAAATACCTTGCAGGTAGTTATACATAGCAAATACCTTGCAGGTAGTTATACATAGTAAATACCTTGCAGGTAGTTATACATAGTAAATACCTTGCAGGTAGTTATACATAGTAAATACCTTGCAGGTAGTTATACATAGCAAATACCTTGCAGGTAGTTTTACCAAATTCTAATCATGGTTTGTGTAAGGCTGTTGTTCATATCAACATAATATTAGTGACAATCTCAAAAAGAGGTAACTGTAGCAATATATATATATATATATATTTGTATAATTACAAGAAATTTGAAGGCTTACAGTGAATATATAAAATGCAAAATTAAAAATCTATTATAGCTAATATCTACAGATTTTATAGATTTAAAGTACTTTGTAGTTTTCAAACTCCCAGGGCCAACAAAAAAGGTTTTTAACAAAACTACTCCTTTTTTTTAAATCTAGCTTTATTTTACACATATTTTTTGGCAGACTAAAAAATTTTATAACTAAAATATATACTAACAAGGCTGAGTTTGACCTGCTGGAGAACTTTAAGCAGTACAAAGGCTCAAAAGAAAATCCCACATGTTTTTATTTTAGCCTGAGTAAGAAGATCACACCTCCTGAGATCAGTTGATTGTGTACCCTGATTTTGTACCAACAATTTGATCCTAATTCTTCTCCTCTTCCGACTGTAATCACAACCATTGGTTTCTATGGTGTCATCTATTTGTCCTCTGCCTCAGTGTAGAAAGCATCAATTGTCTTTTTATACATCTTTGTTACCACTGGACGTCTCAATTTCAATGTAGGACCTGAATAGTTCAATAAAAGAAGAGCAAATAAAATTAATGAAGAAAAAATGACATCTATAATCTCTAAAGTCATTTTACAAATTACAAAAAAAATCATTTACCATCAGATTATATATATTAAACTGATATAAAAAGAATGTGTATGTATCCTTCTAACTATTATAAAAAGAATGTGTATGTATCCTTCTAACTGTTGTAAAAAGAATGTGTATGTATCCTTCTAACTGTTATAAAAAGAATGTGTATGTATCCTTCTAACTGTTATAAAAAGAATGTGTATGTATCCTTCTAAGTCAGGAGGAAAATCAACTGCACAAAAGTATTTCAAATAACAGGCACAGCATAGGAATGTTGAAATTTAAAGAACCTTAAATGATCTTACATTTCAAACACCCCCATATAATAAATATGGATTACTTTTACAAGTCCCCCTTTTCTGATGATCAAACTCATCAAAGTTTTTTTTTGAGTGGAAGACTTCATACAAATTCGAAAAAGGATCTGATAAAAACGAAGAGCCTATCCTAGTGACAAGAATTAACTTAAAATAGAAGTCCCTTCCCAAAAAATGATTTCCCATTTTAAATGTTTCTGATTATCAAATACGTTCAAGGTTTTGATGAGTGGAAACTGTCATACAAATTTGGAGAGAATATGACAAAAACACAGGTGCTATCCATGAGACAGGTATAAATATGGGATATATTTATAAGTCCCTCTCCTAAAAAAATCATTCATTTAGATTTTTCTGATTATCTAACTCATCAAAGTTTTTGATAATTGACAACTTTTATTTAAATTTGAAGAGGATATGACAAGTAGAGAAGGTGTTGCAATGAAACAATGGTGATGTCAGGACAGGACAAAATATTATTTCCTCTGCAACTTCTTAATAGCATAAGGCAATTTCGCAAATGATGAAATTTAAATGGCAACACTTAAGCATGTAAACTATGCAAAATGTCAAATTCAATAGACTATGACTGAGAGGTGGAGCCAAATAATTTCCATGGGAATAAGATGTGCCAATATTAATACAACTGCATACCAAATGTCATAGTCTTATAATCAGTGGTTTGGTTTTAACTGACCTAATCACAATCTTTAACAGATAATTAACACACCTAACTCCAGCAATAGCACTCCTTAGGCTTTGGAAACCTCATAGCTATTGTCTCCCCTGCTTTGGAAACCTCACAGCTATTGTCTCCCCTGCTTTGGAACCTCATAGCTATAGTCTCCCCTGCTTTGGAAACCTCATAGCTATTGTCTCCCCTGCTTTGGAAACCTCATAGCTATTGTCTCACCTGTTTTGAAAACCTCATAGCAGGGGAGACAATAGCCTGATTCACCACCAAGAGTATAAAAGTCTTACCTAATTCACCACCAGGAATAGAGAAGTCTCTAGGAATGATTGACCATTTTTGTACTTTTGCTGCTCTGGACACTGATTTTGCATTAGCTCTGTCAATACCATCTTGGATTGCCTTCAGCACCACAGCATCTTTCTTGTCTATTATATCCTCCACGGTTGTAGCCTCACTTCCAATACTTTTACACCAATCCTTACAGTCTGTGGTAAGATTGTTACTGGGCTCAGCTGTATCTGGATTTATATCCACCTGTTTAATTATAAAATAGCATCAACAAAATGTCTAAATGAATACTTGCAGTATCAATTTGATTTTCCAAAGAAAGAAAACGAGAAGAAAGAGAAAAATTTAATAAGAGTTAAAATGTAATGATGTTTTGTTTGATTTACTGCTCCTGACTGAAATAAAACCTGTCAACTTACAGTTATTGATGCTGGGTAAGGAGGGCTAAAGAAGGGGGAACACCCACCTTCAGACATAAAAATCATACGAGGATTCCAATTAACATACTGTTATTGATCAGGGCTTCCAAAACGGTCGTACTGTCTGGACTTGGACGGTAAATTATGATTAAGACTTGTTGTGCCGAGCATGTAACGGCCATATAACTGGGTTTGCCATTTAAAAAAATTCAGAAAAAAAATTGAAGTATATGCAATCTTCTTGACCCGACCTTTTGCCTTAACAGCCACATATTTCCAGTGACATGATGAATAATAACTATCAATACAAACCCTACTCTAATACCCTCTCATTACAATCAAGGTTAATTAGTTCTCTGACAGCTGAACTTACCTGTTCAGGCGACAGGTAAAACTATTTACCGGACATTGATCGGTCTATTTATAGTTATTTTCTTAAATTTCAGCGGTTTGCATCTAATTAATTTAGCCAAAAAGATTTAGATTATCAGAAAAATGTATAAAAATATGATTTGATGAAAAATTTAAAAAGGTAGTAATAAAGTTTTTTGCAAACAATTGTCAGAACCATGTTGTTTGAACTAGTACACGCGTGCGCATGTGCACAGGTGTGAGATTTAATCATGCATCCAAATTTTATCATTGATACCTTTATCTTAACGTTCATTTCGAGCATTTTCCTAAAGAAATAACGTGGAAAGAGCTACTTCAACTCAATCGTGCTTTGTAAACATAAACAGATTTTACACATCAGTCTCTGGTCCATGTTTTACCACTGTCAAGTCAACATCAGGTATTAGGAAAATATGCTTTTAAAAACAAAAGTGAAGATGACAGCGTAATTTTGCTCAAATAAAGAGTCTAAGGCAGATATTAGTACGCTGATGTTGTACACTTCGAATGATGCACTGTCAATTTGACAGTTTAACTCAGAACATCGAATTTCTAACAAAAGTCAAGTCTAATATCGTTTCTGTGTCAATCATTTTTTATATGATGCCCAACTGATTACCATGGTTGCTTTTTGTTACTAAGTCTGAAGGGATTAAAATCGGGATAAGACAAAAAATGTCCAACTAGTTCAAATATTTTTTGGAAGCCCAGTTATTGATACAAGTTAAGGAGAGGTACCACAGGGGGACACTCACCTTCAGACATAAAATCATGGACAGGAACTTTCTTTTATCTCCTATTAACATACAGTTATTGATACAGGGTAAAGCTTCTTTCACGGCATCCTCCATTGGTACAGGAGCAATATTCTCCCCTCCAGCTGTTATGATTAGTTCTACAAATATCAAACACCCAATGTTAAGTAAAAATATAAGCCACTGATCACGTCTATTCAGGATAATTTAAAAAAAAACCTGTATCGACTTCATGAATAAATTTGACAAGGAAAATGTCTTCTAAAGCCTATATCTCTTTTTGTGCATTGTTGGGTTGCTGTCTCATTGACATATACTAAATATCTCTTTTAATTGATACATATATATCACACTTCACACTTTTATAAGATAAACAATATGACATATCTGTTATTATGATGCTCTGCAGTTGTATGAATGTTTTCCAATTAAAAATTTCATGGACATGCACCCAAAAACCTACATTTTTATCTGTTGAGATCAAATCAGTTTGATGTCATCTTTTTGATTGACATGATTACCCTATAATAAAAACAAGAAAATATTTGGTTTTAAATTTGTTGATTGATTGTTGTTTGCATAACGTCCAGTGGCAATATTCATGCATTTTCAGGATGAAAAACTATCAATAAATTAATACAATAGTTAGGTTCTGCAAGGTGGTGCACAGGGATGAAAGGGCAGAAATTTGGAATGCCACTGGAAAACAATGGTGCATTGAATAAAAGCAGAAATTTTGCCTTGCAACAGGCCACCTACAAACCCTCAATAAGTAGCTGCAAGGGTTTTTTTATTATCAGAGAGTATTATCCCCTCTCTACGCACGACTTCAGAGTTAAAGTCCACATTATGACTGTACATGGCTATGAATTCATACATCCTGCACAGCTAAAGGTAGGCCCCACTTTAGCAAAGGTTTACTGTCGTTCGGATGAAGACTAAGGTGACCATAAACCTTGGATAAATCTTTCAAAATAATTACAATGACTTACTTTAGCAGTTCAGGATAATAGCTTCCATGAAGAAGCTACGATTATGGTTTTCTCCAGGCCATATGGTTGGTTCAATGTTAAACCCAAATGTCTAATCAGTTTACAACTGAACAGCTGAAGACAAGTGATAGTAAAATGTCACATTGCATTTGGCCAGGTGAGCTTAAACTTTTCAACATGTGACAATTTTTACCTTTAATTCTTCCAGTAATGAAAAGGAATCCTTGTTCATCATGTTTTCCTAGATCACCTGTTTTTAACCAATGTTCTTCATCAAAAACTTCCTTATTTTTTTCTGGTGCATTTAAATATCCCATAAATACATGTCTTCCCCACATACAGATCTAAATATAGAAAAATAACTCCATAAATACATGTCTTCCCCACATACAGATCTAAATATAGAAAAATACTCCATAAATACATGTCTTTCCAACATACATATCTAAATATAGAAAAAATACTCCATAAATACATGTCCTCCCCGCATACAGTTCTAAATATAGAAAAATACTCCATAAATACATGTCTTTCCAACATAACTTAACATTCAGTGGCAAATATTTTATGTATATTAATAAAAAGAAAAATATATCCCATTTATACAGATCTAAAATGATAGTATGCTGAAATTTCTTGCCAAATAACAATATTGAAAGTCAAGATAAAGGTCAAAATACATATGTCAAACTTACACAGTGGAATTGAAATTGAAATCTTTAATACACTAGATGATTGTTAAACTAGACCTTACTACTGAGTAAAAAAAAATGACCTAATCACAGATCAATCAGTCATGATAATGATTTCAAGGTTAGCTGAATCCTGTCAGACGCACATGTATGTATTTTAAAAAATAATTTATTTTAAACCCCATTTTTTTTTTTACTAAAGAGTAATTTAGTAATTGACTAAATCATCAACTCCCTACATTTAACAATGAACCTTGAAAATAATGTCAAGATCAGGTGACTGCAATCAGATGCAATTTGTAAGCCTTCAAAAGATGAATATAAATACAATGGAAATTTCATACATGGCCATTATACGTTAGAATATATAAGTAATAAGATATCTAAAAATGCTTTACAGTATAGCATATTTACATTAAACTTTTTTACCAAATTTCAGGAAGCTCTGATTTGTAGACCCCTAGATAAGTGATTCCAACATTTTATGAGTCACACGAAAAGACGTTAACCTCTAAACCACCTATTTTGAAGAGGGAGTGTAACTAATATCTTTATAATTAATGCTACAATGTATTAATTGCTATCTTTAAGAGCTTATCAAAGATTCTAAAAGACAAGACTTACTTCTCCATTTCCATCTTCATCAGGGTTAGCTAACTTTGTTTCAGATCCAGGAAAATTATGTCCTACACTACAGATTTTGAAGTCTTCATTACATCCTACTGTGTGTGGTCCTGTGGAGTAAAATATATCAGGTCAAAATTCAAACTTTGATTGCCCAACCTCTAAATATCCTGGAAAATTCCACTGACCACCCTAAAATATGTTCTTAGAAAGAAAGTTGTCTCATTGGCAAGCATACCACATTTCCTTATTTTTATACAGGTACTACAGATTTCCATTAATTCATATACCACTAAGTCAAAACTTACATAATATTTCATGATTTTTAATTTTCAATTTTTTTATCATTGTATTCAATTAATGTAGTTCAGTGTACAAGCAATACTAATGTATAATCTGGTGCTAATATATGGGAAATGTTTCCAGTGTATGATTACAGATCTCCTTCCAATGGAAAAGTTGGAAAACATGACCAACTAAAATATAGACCAAGAAGTTTTATTTGGGACTAACCTGTACCTTCACTCATTTATTTACCTGTACTTTCATTCATTCCAATTAACAATAATTTACCTGTACTTTCACTCATTCCATAAACTTCATGAAGCTGCATGTTCAAACTGTAGAAAAACTCCAATGTTTCCTTCATGATGGGGGCTGCTCCTGACATGAAGAACCGACACCTATCTAATCCAAGGGCTGTTCTAGCTTTCTTGAAGACTAAAGTGTTGGCAAGTCCCCATCCAAAGGGCATAGACTGTCTGTAAGATATCAATCAAAAGTTCAAAGGAATTTGAGTTAACAATCCCCTGTTTTAGACGAGTAAAACACTTTAGACCACTAGTGTTTAAATTTTAAACATACAGACATCAAACTGACATCTGTTAAATATACAAACCAGAATATGACTTGTTGACCTGTATAGATTTTCTAAACAGCTAACATTTATAAATGAAATGTATTATTCTAATTTTACCTCAATGTATATAAAAATGGAAATTGATGATAAAAGAACAGTCTGTAAATGTTCAATGCTGTCTACAAGGTATAATTTTCCACTTTTCAAAGTTGCAAATGGCAATTAATCCAACAAAATGAACCACCAGTATTGATTCTCAAATTTATTGAGGTGTTTAATACCAGAGACATATAATACAAGAGATTCGCAACTCTAGTAGAGTCTATATAACAGCCAATAAAATGACCTGGCCACCGGAAAGCCGATTAATCCGATGGATTTATGGGTAAAAACTCGCTATTGTTGTGAAAAAGGTTCTACGCCTCACGATTTTTCTAATGGATAATGCCGATACCTTTCACAGCTAAAGCATGCAAGTATATTTAAAAGTTACAAAAAACTAATTCTAATAATTTGTTATTGATAAAATGTGTTCTAATGATGAGATTAATCAAATACAAACAAAGTTAAAACTCGGCCCATTTTACTTCACCTATTGCCGTAGAAACCATTTGATCTCCCAACTTTTTTCTTAAAACTTGGAAATATGCTAATAAATATATAATTTTATGGGGCAATAATACTCCCAAATGTTGTTTCGTGAAAATAAGACTTTTTGTAAAATTTGATCCAATAGTGTTTTTTTTTTCTTCAAAATTATCAACAAATGTGGCGATTTTTTCTTATTGATACCTGAAGCCAGCTGTGCTGGTACTATCATTTTATCTCGTAAAACTTGGAAATGTGCGAATAAATATTCAATTATATGGGGCTATATTACTCTCAGATGTTATGTCGTGAAAATAAGACCAGTTTCCTAAAATTTGATCCAACAGTTATTTCTAAAAATATCAACAAAGGTGACTATTATTTTGTTATTTATACACAAAGCCAGCTATGCTAATTTTATCAATCTGTTTCGTCAAAACTAGAAATATTATGGGAATATATATTACTCCCAATTGTTTTTTTTTTTATTAAACTGGCTAAATATTGAAATTTTTCATGGACAAAATTCCTTAAATCAGTCCTTCATTTTTGTGCACTATGAAATTTATAGCCTGCATTTTGTTAGACAATTTATTCATTTTTCATTCTGTTTATGGCAAAGTTGTTTATTTTCTCCTATTCTGAAGTCATTGTTTTTTTCTTCTTTTTAGGGTGCCAAAGATGAACAAATGGAGTAAATTTACAAAAGGAGTAAAATTTTCCTAGTAAAGGAAACCTTCTGCTGGCCGTAATATTATGAATGAGCTTCATGCATCTGTTGTCGTTTCAGACTACGCTTCTCATTCAAAACATGAACCTAATTCATTTTTAAACTAAAATCTTATTGAGGACATTTCAATGGTGACTGCAAAAGATATATATATATATATATATATATATATATATATATATTGATAATAAAAGATTTTATTTACACCAAGGATTTGTATATGTATACACATAAACAATCTTACTTTTAAACTGCCATCTCTTTGCCCCAGAATAAAAAGACAAAAACCACTACAAATGATTAAAAGACAGAAACCACTACAAATGATTGTATCAACAAAGAGTTCGTTATCAGTTTATTCAACTAGGAGTATATCTAAGTCGTAACTATTAAGATTGTCATCCCACGAAATAAAATCGGAATTTTCCATATTGCGTGCACATGAATGAAGCTTTACTTAAGTGAGAAATTGATTGTAATTTTCTTAAATATTAATTCTCAATACACACTTCGAACATGACGAAACCATAAATTTACCGCCAATCATTTAAAAAACAACTCAATGCAAGCCTATGATGAAACTGTCAAACAACACTTAGAAATCAAACATTTACCGACAATCCTACAGAAAAAACTCAATGCAAGCCCAATAAATGATGAATATAAAAATAAATAAAATTTTAATAATTTATAAATATCAAGAATAAAAAACAAAGCCTATCATGATTAACAACTAATTAACAAATAAATTAAGTTTTTTTCCACATTAATTAATTTTACATTTTGTGAATTGAATTTTTGGAAAGAGTGTGGACACCTGTGGTGTAACAACTTCTTGTTTACAAGGTGTCAATTAAAACTCATTATTTATAACATGTTCGTGATTTACCTGGTCATCGAATAATTCAAACCTAATATACATGTCACACTGTGAAATTATGTCTCCGAGACAAGTGTATATTCAATAGAAACCCATTATGAAACTATCAAATAAAATGAACTCTAACACAATTTATCAAGTGTTAATTATTTAATATCAGTTTTTTTAATACAATATCAAATTATGTCTCTTTTTCAATAATACAAATCTAAAATCAAAATTACATTAAAATAAATAATTATATATGTACTCAAATTATTTAATTAATTATGATAAATTTAACACTGAAACAGTTTATGTTATGCTTAAACATTCGTCCTTACTTCGAGTACTTTTAATACTTTTATTAATGACTTTATTACCTAAGGAGATCTCGCTAGGTTTAACTAGTGGCCGCGTGTTATTACGGGATTTCGCCGAGTTGCGAATCTCTTGTATTATATGTCTCTGTTAATACTAATAAAAATAGGACTTATATTAAACCAGTTTGAACTCCCCTTTAGAAAAAGCTGATATATAAATTCTGTTTGAACAGGTTGGAGAAGATTTTACAAAATTTTACTCACTTGTTCATCAATGCAAGAGATCCTTTTAATCCAACACCTTTAGCCCACATGCCAATTTTTTTCTTTAAAGCACCAGAGCTACGAGCCTTGGCCTTTATGCCTTCATAAAATTTTTCCCAAACACGTGGAACTCCAAAAAATCCTGTTGGTCTAACCTCCTGCAGTGTTCCTAACAGACTTCCCTATATAAAGTATATGTATATATATATAATTTTAGTATACAATAATGTAAGGCTATCATCTTTAAGATTTTATAAAATAAGAAAGGCATAGAGGTTTAAAATTTTGAAGGTCAAAATTCATTAGATGATTTGGTTATGTAATGCTGTCTTACATGGCTAAACATCAAATCAGAGATCATAATGTTGCAATTTCAATTAAAATTAATGTTAGCTTTGTCACATCTTATTCCAAATTTTATGGATTTTTAAAAGTTCTTGCATTGTCCAAAAATTAATGACCAAAATATTTGCATAATCATGCTAGTATGTACCACCTATATTAAGTGTACTGCGCTTTGGGCTGTTCTTTATTTTACCAATGAAAGACGAACAATTTTTTTCTGAACAAAGCAATAGAAGAAATTAACAGTACCACAATACAGACTTTCATGAAAAAGTTACACAGCCATCCATCCATGTTAGTTATCTAACTAAAAAAGGTATAGAGGGTTATGTCTCAATATAATTGCTCTAAGGAAAATGCATGATTTCCAATGTTAATAAACTGTGGGTTCATTAAGATTCGTGAGATACCAACTATCATGGATTTTGTTGGTATAGAAGAACCAGTTCAACACAATATGAATTGTATATAGGTTTGTATGCAGACATTGGTAAAACCATCAATTCAATTATCCACTAAAAAATACATTTTTCCCTCAAACCACGAAAATTGATACCCACGAAAATAAATAAACCCACAGTATAACAAATTAAAAAATGAATATTTTTGAATAATGGAATTTTTATTTTGACACTGACTATCAGTAAGAATATCAAGTGAGCCAGCTAGGACTAGCTGATGTTAGATCTAATGAAGTCTGTATCAAAAAATAAAATGTCATTATTCTTTTTATCAGCAATTTGTCTTTAAATAATTAGTTACTTTAGATATAATAGGAACTTGAATTAAGAAGTTTACATAAAACTCTTCTTGTGAGTACAAACTGTTTTGATAGCTGTTTGACTGTATGGATGATGCAGCATGCAATTAATTAATTGACATACAATGCATAAACATGTTTAAGAGACATTTTTGCCTTATATTTACGAGTATCATATTCTATCTGCGATCTTAAAAAATTAAGACAGTAAGATCAAAGAGAAAATGTACAAATTGCTGATAATGTCATTCATGTTTTGGTAAGTAAACAAAATATATGAAGCATAATATAAAACTAAAATTACTGTTAGTAATCAAACATGCCACAATATTAGTATTGTTGTTAAATGTATATAATGTTGATGTTAGTGTATACACATTTCACCATCTAAGAATAAAAACATAAAATCAAAATTAGTGTGTTAGCTAGAAAAATAACATGAATATAAATAGTTAGCTAGAAAATAAAAATATGAACAAAATTAGTGTACTATCTAGAAGTAAAAAGGCAAATACAAAATTAGCTTATTGATTAGGGAAAAATCATGCACAAAATTGGAGTATAAGGTAACATGCCACAAAGGAACAAAGTTTCGAAGTATGTCCAGTGCAGGATGTTTTGTCGATATTGTCAACATTGCAATGTCTACTTTATCGTGTTATTATTGTGTTAACATTGTATCCTTTTTGTCGATATTGTCCACATCGCAATGTCTACTTTATCGTGTTATTATTGTGTTAACATTGTATCCTTTTTGTCGATATTGTCAACATCGCAATGTCTACTTTATCGTGTTATTATTGTGTTAACATTGTATCCTTTTTGTCGATATTGTCAACATCGCAATGTCTACTTTATCGTGTTATTATTGTGTTAACATTGTATCCTTTTTGTCGATATTGTCAACATCGCAATGTTTACTTTATCGTGTTAACATTGTATCTTTTTTGTCGATATTGTCCACATCGCAATGTCTACTTTATCGTGTTATTATTGTGTTAACATTGTATCCTTTTTGTCGATATTGTCAACATCGCAATGTCTACTTTATCGTGTTATTATTGTGTTAACATTGTATCCTTTTTGTTGATATTGTCAACATCGCAATGTCTACTTTATCGTGTTATTATTGTGTTAACATTGTATCCTATCTATATATTTGTTCTGTACTTTTGTGTTTACATCGTTCACATCGTATACATCGTGATGTTCACAATATCGTGTCAGCAACGTGTTTATGTTGTATATAGAGTCTATACCTTTCTGTTTACATCGTTCACATCGTATACATCGTGATGTTCACAATATCGTGTCAGCAACGTGTTTATGTTGTATATAGAGTCTGTACCTTTCTGTTTACATCGTTCACATCGTATACATCGTGATGTTCACAATATCGTGTCAGCAACATGTTTATGTTGTATATAGAGTCTATTCCTTTCTGTTTACATCCTTCATTGTATACATCGCAATGTTAACAATATCGTTTCAACATCGTTTTTATATTGTATATCTAGTCTATACCTTTGTGTTTACATCGTTCACATCGTATACATCATGATGTTGACAATATCGTGTTTACATCGTTCACATCGTTAACATCGTACAAAAGTAGTGTATCAAGTCTATACCATTGTGTTTACATCGTTCACATTGTATACATTGCAATGTTAACAATATCGGGTCAACATCGAGTTTATATTGTATATTGAGTCTTTACCTTTATGTTTACATCGTTCTCATCGTATACATCGTAATGTTGACAATAGCGTGTTAACATTGTTCACATCGTCTACATCATATTAATGTTGTGTACCAAGTCTATACTTTTGTGCTTACATCGTATACACCGTGATGCTGTCAATATCATGTCAACATCGTGTTGAAATTGTATAGAGTTTACACCTTTTCTGTTTACATCGTTCACATAGTATACATGGTGATGTTGACAATATCGTGTTTAAATTGTTTACATCGTATTAACGTGTGTAACAAGTCTATACCTTTGTGTTTACATCGTTCACATCGTATACATTGCAATGTTAACAATATAGTGTCAATATCAATAACATTGAATAAAAAACGTTGCTTTTATTGTTATAAGTATAGTCTTACATTTATATTGTCATATCCTGTTATTTCTTATGTGTTTACATCACTGGCTTAGGCAACATTGCAATGCTCTTAACAATATAGTGTTCAGCATAGCGTTTATATTGCTTGATAATAAACGTTTAAAAAATTCTAGCAGCATTGAGAATAGTTGTGGACAAAATGCAATTTACAAATCATAATGTTGTCTACGTAATGTCAATCCGTACAAAGATGAACAATTCAAGAATATCAACACAGACGCATGTGAAAAGACATTTTAAAAGATGTTGACACAATAAAGTGTTAAGGATGTTGGCTCCTCTTGTGTTAGAATTTTTGTTGAATATTCAGAAGCGTCTGTTTTTATCAATGTAATGCCATTAAAATTTTTTCCCCATTAACCCCTTCTTTTCTTTCCAGAATTCGATAACATATAGTTAAAAATGTTATCTTTGAAAATCTTATAAAATCCTTGTTATTTTTTCATCATTTTTGAAAGAAACAAGCTTTTTCAATACAAATTTTTGCATAGAATCATAGCAACTAATACCTTTTTATACAAAATTAAATTAAAAGACACCAAGATGTGTACTTTTTGTAAACTTGGTGAAGAAACCATTGAACACCTTTTTTTTGAATGCCCAATAACTTTTCAATTGTGGCAGTCTTTTTCAAATGCAGTAAAACTTTTTTTTGTAAACTTTGTTCTTAACAAAGAAAATGTGTTTCTTGGTTGCAAACATGAAAGTTTATTACTGAATCTGTTAGTCATAATTACAAAAAACTATATATACAAATGTAAATTAAATGAAACAAAACCAAATATGGTTGGGTTAAAGAATAGAATAAAGAAATACCAATTTCTTGAATATTATATTGCAAAGAAAAATAATAGAGTCCAAGTGTGTGAAAAATTTTGGTCTCCTTTACATGTAATATTTAATTAATTATTGTTTCATATAAGTGAGAGAATAAAATATCTATATATCATGAGCAAATATTTAGCCTTGAGTTTTTTTTGTTTTTTTGTTTTTTCTTTAAAATATTTTGTTTTTAAAATGTAAGTCAAGATACATCATGTACATATTGTAGCAAAGCAAATGAGTGAAGAGTATTTGTATTGTATGAGAGAAAGTCAGAGAGCGAGAGAATATAATCAAATAAAATTTATATGTAACCTTAAATACTACATGTATAATTATAAAAATCAACTTGTCAGTGATATATATTGTATACTGAATTATTTTTTATATGTAACCCCTTGATACCCTTGTCAGGTGGTAGTGTAGGGGTACATGTATATTAAATCCTGACTATTGAAAAACAAATAAAAGATAAAAAAAAAAGCTTTCTGTGAGTATTGCATGGCAATACATAGTCCCCTACCGATTAAAAATTCATTGTATTGGAACAAAATTCGAAATTGCTCTATTACTTGTCACGGTGTAAACTATATAACAAATATCAAGTCAAAATCTTAAAGCATGACGAAATAAAGTGTTGAAAACGAAGTGAATTTTGTAAGTCCAAAGACCATAACTCTACACAAAATCATCAGACCGGAACAAAATCCTAACTTGATCTGTAACTTGTCATGATAAATGTATTGCCAATATTCAAGTCAACATCTTCAATCATGACAAAAAAATTTGCGGAAAACTGATTGAGTGAATTTTCTAAGTCCAAGAACCATAACTCAACTCAAAATCATCAGACCAGAACAAAATTCGAAATTGATCTGTAACTTGTCATGATAAAACAATATACCAAATATCAAATCAATATCTTCAAGCATGAAGAAAAAAAGTGTGGAAAACTGATTTGCTGGACTGACGGATGGACAGGGGACTAAAAAGGTGTAAATGTTAATTGTATGAAAATCTATAGAGAATTATTTCCCGCCAAATTTTCAATGGCTTATATCTCGAAAACAAGCACACGGACCCTCCATTTTTTCTGCTTTTTTAGTTACTTTATTTATATACTATCAATTTATAACAGTCTTTATGGTTGCACTTTGTAAATACAGCTGTTTCTCAAACCACGCCTCTTTTGGGGAGATATATAATATTCATAGATAATTAATTTTGTGTATGTACTGGTTCCCGGATATTATCTCTATGTTTCATCTCGTAGAGACATAACTTGGGAATGTTACCAGTAAATATACATATTCAAAGTGATCAAGTTAAAATCTGTGGAAATCCTTAAATCAAGGTAGGGGTACCATTGAATTTTAATGTAAGTTTAAACTCATAGAAGTTCAGGGCATATAAACGTTAATAATATGCCAAACAGCCCTATATTTTGACCTTTGAAAAAAATAGTAGTGCATATGAACTTTCCATTCAAGGATATAATTTTTTTCAAAACTTCATAGTAAAAGTAGTACAGTTTTAGCCGTGAAAGGAGTTCCTGTGGGAAATTGCATTGTTTATATTTACAGAAATGCAACCTTAAAAAACTTTGTTATTCTGAAACAGAGTAGCGAACATCCTAAACATGGTTAATATGGCAATGTAAACGATGTACACACGATATCTTTACAACATTGTATACATCGCGACGTTAATGATGTCAACGATGTAAACAATATGTTAGAGTTCAGAAAATATAAACGATGTCGACACGATATTGTGTTAACATTGTAAATATAGGGATGTAAACACGATATCTTTTCAAAATTGTATATACCGCGATGTTAACAATGTCAACGATGTAAACAATATGTAAAAGTTCAGACAATATAAAAGATGTTGACACGATATCATGTTAACAATGTTTACATCACGATGTGAACGATGTAAACGATGTAAACAATGTATAAGAGTTCAGACAATGTAAACGATGTTGACACAATATTGTGTTAACATTGTAAATATAGGGATTTAAACACCATATCTTTTCAAAATTGTATATACCGCGATGTTAACAATGTCAACCATGTTAACAATATGTAAGAGTTCAGACAGTGTAAATGATGTTGACACGATATTGAATTAACATTGTAAATATTGCGATGTCGACAATATTGATTAAACATTGTGCACTGGACATGTATATATCAATTAACCAAGTAGCAACAAAGAATCCGACAAACCTTCAGGGCATCTGGTTGTGCAAAATAAACTGCCGACGCCATAGTAACAGGTATAAGTATATCCATCATCTGAGCCGCTATGTGGCTCAAAGGGAGATAACTTATAATTACTTCAGATCCAAAAACAAACTTGAACAATTTTGCAATTGCAACAGCAACCCATGTAGCCTGTTAAAAAATAAATCTATTTAATGATAAAAGTATCAAGCAGGTTAAAAAGTTATCTATGTTAGTGCATATTGGTTAATGCACGCAGCAAACCTTGAGGGCGTCTGGTAGTGCAAAGTAAACAGCTGATGCCATTGTAACTGGTATTAATATGTCATTTAACTGAGCTGCAATATGGCTTAAAGGGAGGTAACTAATGAGAACTTCTGATCCAAAATTAATTTCAAACAATTTAGTGATGGCTGCTGCTGTCCAGGTTACCTATGGAGAAATCAAAAATATTATTAGTTTTACCTTTAATGATGTTTTTTTAAAGTTATATGGACTATTGAGAACCAGTCATTTTATTTAAAAGTCAAGTACATTTTCTAAAGAACATTAAAATATGCATCTTTTATTATCTTTCTTTTAGACATGTTGAAGTTCAATATGTAGCATAATAATCAAAAACTTATTTTTGACTTTTGTTAAAAACAACTGATTCCACAAAAATACACAGTGTCCTCTTCATCACTTAATAGAACAAACCTTTAAAGCATCTGGTCGTGCAAAGTATACAGATGCACCGTAGGAAACAGGAAAAGTTAAGTCAACCATCTGAGCAGCAACATGACTTAAAGGGAGATAGCTAACGATGACTTCCTCCTCGTAATGTAAACCAAATGTTTTGGCAAAAGCACTAGCTGTCCATACCATCTGTATAGTATTAGTTATATAAAAGTTGCACAACAATCAATGTAAATCTGTTTACACAACCTTTGCCATATGTAGGTTTGGTAAAATTTCAATTTAATAAAAGGCTAACGCTCAATCTAATTCTAATAAATAGGTTTCAAATGACTTAATTTAAGTTTAAGTTATTTTCCTTGGCCAACATTTTGGAGGGATAAGGATTGATTTCTAATTTGAATTAAATTAAATTAAATTAAAAACATGCAAAATAAACAAGTCTGATAAGAGATCCTTACTGGATGAATAAAGCAAGGCTAAAGGAAATAAAAATTCTTCTGAAAAACCCTTTATCTACAGTATATCGATCAGTATAACAAGTTGAATTTGGCTGATTTTTGAGGTAATTTGTGCAGTCAGATCTCCAACATGGTGACAAAAGGTAAGTTTACCTTTTTTTTAAAATTCAAAAATTTATTGTTTTTTTTTTAATATGAAATTCTGTCTCTCTTTCCATGCAAACATTAATGTGAATTTCACAAGCATATAACTGTATATGAAAATACTTGTCCTTGAGAACTAAATCTCATTGAACCAGTAATTTTACAGAGTACACAATAGGTTTGGTAGATAACTCACTTTGTTTTTACTTAATTATATGTTATAAAACTTGCTCAATTTGTTCTGTTTACTGTGAAATGGACAATTAAAAAAAATCCTTTTACTTCTGTTCATTAAAATTTTCCCTTATATATTTGTTTATCCTGTCCTCTCAAAAGCATCTATCCCAACTTCCATCTTTTTTTTCAAACAGCTATCAAGAGGATATATAGGTATACCCTATTCATACTATTAATACTATTAATACATATATAGTGTATACCACTTGTACCCTATGCGACACATGGTGCTAACAGTTGATGAAGTTTCTATGAAAACAAACACAAACTTGTATAATTAGTCATTTAAAATTTTGCTTACGGCGGTTTAGTGCAAGTCATTATAGATTTCAAAACGAGTTGAGTATTGGATATCTGTTGATATCAACTTTAATACAATAATAATAAACAAGACTCTTCCAAGTTTATTATTATTTCAAATTTAAATAACTAGAGTTGATATCATATAACTTTCAATTATCATGAGTTCTAAAACCTGTTTCTTTTATGATAATTTTTTTTTTTGTATATAAAAGAAAATTCTGTGAAACATTGTTCTTGTCTTTTGCAATGTCAAACATTATCATTATACTTTTCTAAGCTCTTTGTAAGCTTCCCATTGGAATCAAACTTGACAATAAGCATATTTTCCGTTGAATAATGTTTGTAAATTATTGAAGAAAGAAGTCCTTTGTGATCTTTGAAAGTTATAATTGACCTCACAATTAGCCAATGAAAATGTCACAACACACTGCAGGATAGGCCCACCAAGTTAACACATGACAACCCACAACCATCTCAAGCGTTACTGAGTGATAAAATAATCTAATATGACAACAAATCATAGAATAAAAATAAACTGTTAACACAGAGATATGTCTCGCCTTTTTGAACTTTTGATAATGCAAATGTTGAAATTAAAATAGCAATACTTTAACATGTAAGTTATGCAAATATTCAAAGTCAATGAACCATGACTGAAGGTACATGGCAAAACAATCTCCATGGAAATGAGATGTGCCAATGGTAATACAACTGCATACCAAATACCATAGACTTATCATAAGTCGTTCCCTTTCAACAAACCTAAACACAAACATTGACTTGTAAACTATGTAAAAGTTTCAAAGTCAATGAACCATGATGAGGGGGTGGGGCTATATAATCTCCATGGAAACGAAACTTGCAAATGCCAATAAATCTGCATACCAAATATCATTGACTTAACATTAGCGGTTCACCTTAAACTGATCTTGAATCACAAACTAATACATGTAAACTAAGCAAAAGTTTAAAAAGTCAATAAACCATGACTGAGGGGGTGGCACCAATATTCTCCATGGAAATGAGATGTGCTAATGCTTATACAATTGCATACCAATTAACATTGGCCTACCACTAATGGTTCCCCTTGAACTGACCTAATCACAAACTAACACATGTAAACTAAGCAAAAGTTTCAAAGTCAATAGACCATACCGTAACTGCGGGGGCGGGACCAAATATGCTCCATGGAAATGAGATATGCCAATGCTTATACAATTGCATACAAAATATCATTGACTTACCACTAGTGGTTCCCCTTGAACTGACCTAATCACAAACTGATACATGTAAACTAAGCAAAAGTTTTAAAGTCAATAGACCATGACTGAGGGGGCAGGGCCAAATAATCTCCATAGAAATGAGATGTGCCTGTGCTAATACAACTGCATACCAAATATCATTGACCAACCACTAGTGGTTCACCTTAAATTTGACCTAATCACAAACAAATACATTGTTGACGCCGCCTCCGTCGACACCGGAAACAGCATAACTATGTCTCGCTTTTTGACTTCGTCAAGGCGAGACAATAACAGTTCGGTAGTTATCCTTTCAATCTCCAATTTTCACAATGCAAAAGCAACAGTGTTTACATAGGTCTCAAAAGGTATGGATTTTAAAGAGGATAAACTTTAACCACCATAAATATGTACATCCGTGAGTCTGTACTAAATATACATGTAGATATTTCAAGAATTTTATCACTTTGTTGTTTACAAAGTGAAAGCAGCACATCATATTACACCCATGTTTAAGTACATACAAATCAAGTGCAACCAGCCATTTTTTTTAACAACCAGCTCGAGATAAACTTACATTATCATGACTTAACATCACTCCTTTTGGATCTCCTGTAGTTCCAGACTGAAATGATAAATCATGAAATATTAATGCAATGAAAACACCATACCCTGCTCTCACGATCTATGAATTTCTAAGAAAATTTAATTGTATGAAAATTGGAATCTTTTACTTGTTGAAGCCACACCACACAAGGCCTACAAGGTTTCCTAAATTGCAGAAAAACTGAATCTCACATGGCAGCCCTAAATTAAATAACAAATGCACATAAAAAATGTGAAAATGTTTCAACTTCATAACAAGCAATCAAATCAGATTTATCCTGCTGAGCTGACTTTAAATAAAGCTAATACTAACAATGAACACTGCCCTTTCCTGGATCTTGATATCTATATCTTTAACGGAAAGCTTAATACTAAAATTTACAATAAGAGAGATGATTTTTCATTTCCTATTGTTAATTATCCATTTTCAGATGGTGACGTTCCCTTGTCACCATCTTATGGTGTTTATATATCTCAACTTGTTCGACTCGCTCGTGTATGTAATGTATTTGATTTCAACGAAAGAAATCTTTGTATTACTGAAAAATTATTACACCAGGGTTTTCAATATCACAAACTTGTCAAAACATTTACTAAATTTTATCATTGGTACAAGGACATCATTCGTAAATATAAATCAAAGTGCAGACATCTTATACTTTCAGGTATTTTACTTCCAATCTTTTATGGTAATATTCTGTACAAAGCACAAAAATGTCGTCATTCACCTCAAAAGTTAACCAAACCTTTAAACAGACTTATTCAGAAGGGATATAGTTACAATACTGTTGTCAGGTCAATAAAGATGACATTTTTTGGAAATTATATTGATTCACTTGTAGGGTCTTTGGAATGGAAATAAACGCATTTATTCTAAAACCAGTTGTTGCCATGAAACTGGTTATGTTCTTATATCGTATATTTTATGATAGTATTATACTAAACCCCTAACGGAAGGGATTATGCTTGATTTTCATATGATGAAGACATAATCTTTCAATCAGTTTAATTGAGGTCTGGAGCTGGCATGTCAGTAATTGCTAGTAGTCCTTTGTTTATTCATGTTGATTATTGTCATTTTGCTCCGTTTCTTCTGTTACCTATTCTAACATCGAACTCAGATTGCTTTTAAACTGAATATTGCTGTGCGTATTGTTGTGTGTTTGTTTATTCCACATTGGCTAGAGGTATAGGGGGAGGGTTGAGATCTCAAAAAACACGTTTAACCCCACCGCATTTTTGCGCCTGTCCCAAGTCAGGAACCTCTAGCCTTTGTTAATCTTGTATGTTTTTTTAATTTTGGTTCATTTATATGTTTGGGAGTTAAGTGTGACGTCCATTTTCGCTTAACTAGTATACGATATTGTTTAGGGGCCAGCTGAAGCCCTCCTCTGGGTCTAGGATTTTCTCGCGGTGTTGAAGACCCATTGATGGCCTTGGGCTGTTTTCTGCTCTTTGGTCAGGTTGTTCTCTCTTTGACACCTTCCCAGTTTCCATTCTCAATTATATTTTATACATATCCTAGTTTACAATATGAAAAGAGGAATTAAGAAGAAATGCTATTATTACTGCCTTCCTGAAAAGAATTGCACATATTGACCCAAGTGCCGTCCCTTAATATCTCATGTATTCCAAAAAACAAGCTATATTACATCTTTATGTTTTTGACTTTTTTCATCCACTGTCTTCTTACTTAAAAGTGTATATTATACTGCCTCTTTATTTCATTACTTAGTCTGAAAATTATAATGACCTTTTCAAGAAGGAAATCTTTACATTGTCCTTTTTTCTAACATTTTTACTGTTTTAAAAGATCTAAATGCTTTTATTCAGACTACATATACTACTCGACATCTCAGAATTTTATTTATTTTTCCTTTTCCAAATATTTTTTGTCCATTATAAAGAATAAACCAATGACATTGACTTACAGTATATATCAATGTACAACATTTATTTGGTTTGGCTAAATTAATTCTTTCCTGTAATTGTTCATCTGTAACATCCTGTCCAACTTTCATAAACTCATCCCACTGTAAATAACAAAAAAAAAAAAAACATTCATTGGTTTTAATATTGAGATACAACAGTCCTCCTCTTGCATTGCATGTCCTAAGAGAGATAACTCATACTTGATTTTTGTTTACAGTACATTGGAATGTTGTACTATGGGGGTTTTGCATGGTCAGTAGATTCGAATGTAAATTTAAAGTTAACAATTATGTTAGAACTATTCCATTAAAATGGATGTTGGAGGGAAGGACAGGACTTCAGGGCCACAGATATATTGCCAAAAAAATAAACATTTGCTGTTCGTAAGAGCAATGTAATATAAGGAGAATAACCAGAAAACCTTTAAGACAAACAAACGTCATATGAAAATGTCAAGGAGACAGTCCATAAAATAACTTTACTAGTAATGAGTAGTATATTGAAAGATGAGTATAGCTGTCAAAACAAAAAGGCATTCTATGATATCAACTAATTCTCTGATGAACTGTGGAAGGACAAGGCATTCTATGACACCAAATAATTCTCTGTTGAACTGTGGAAGGACAGGCATTCTGGCATTCTATGACACCAAATAATTCTCTGATGAACTGTGGAAGTACAAGGCATTCTATGATATCAACTAATTCTCTGATGAACTGTGGAAGGACAAGGCATTCTATGACACCAAATAATTCTCTGATGAACTGTGGAAGGACAAGGCATTCTATGACACTAAATAATTCTCTGATGAACTGTGGAAGTACAAGGCATTCTATGACACCAAATAATTCTCTGATGAACTGTGGAAGGACAAGGCATTCTATGACACCGAATAATTCTCTGATGAACTGTGGAAGGACAAGGCATTCTATGACACCGAATAATTCTCTGATGAACTGTGGAAGGACAAGGCATTCTATGACACCGAATAATTTTCTGATGAACTGTGGAAGGACAAGGCATTCTATGACACCAAATAATTCTCTGATGAACTGTGGAAATAAAAGGCATTCTATGACACCAAATAATTCTCTGATGAACTGTGGAAGGACAAGGCATTCTATGACACCAAATAATTCTCTGATGAACTGTGGAAGGACAAGGCATTCTATGACACTAAATAATTCTCTGATGAACTGTGGAAGTACAAGGCATTCTATGACACCAAATAATTCTCTGATGAACTGTGGAAGGACAAGGCATTCTATGACACCGAATAATTCTCTGATGAACTGTGGAAGGACAAGGCATTCTATGACACCGAATAATTCTCTGATGAACTGTGGAAGGACAAGGCATTCTATGACACCGAATAATTTTCTGATGAACTGTGGAAGGACAAGGCATTCTATGACACCAAATAATTCTCTGATGAACTGTGGAAATAAAAGGCATTCTATGACACCAAATAATTCTTTGATGAACTGTGGAAGTACAAGGCATTCTATAACACCAAATAATTCTCTGATGAACTGTGGAACTACAAGGCATTCTATAACACCAAATAATTCTCTGAAGAACTGTGGATTCATTCTTTTTCGTGGAAACCAATTTTTATGAATTAAGGAAAAATTATGTTTTGGTTGATGTTTGATTTCATGGTCTTGTCAAAGTCTGCAAACCGGCCTATAGAAAAATGGTACTATGTTGAACATTTAAATTTGTTGTTTACCTATAGACAGGTAATCCAAGAAAATTGGTATCCCACAATTAATATTCATGAATCCACAGTAAATGTTATGTCGGTTAAGGCATGTCCTTCTCTACTAGTATCTTTAATAGTTCAAAAGTTCCTTCTACTTTTTGTTTGATATAACAATATACTTACACTATATACATTATAAATTTTCCTTTCTCTCGGCCACCTCTCCTGTGTATTGTACTACAGCCTTTAGACATGGCAGATTTGGCCACACTGACCTCTGACAATATACCTACACTATTTACATTATCCTTTCTCTCGGCCACCTCTCCTGTGTATTGTACTACAGCCTTTAGACATGGCAGATTTGGCCACACTGACCTCTGACAATATACCTACACTATATACATTATCCTTTCTCTCTGCCACCTCTCCTGTGTATTGTACTACAGCCTTTAGACATGGCAGATTTGGCCACACTGACCTCTGACAATATACCTACACTATATACATTATCCTTTCTCTCTGCCATCTCTCCTGTGTATTGTACTACAGCCTTTAGACATGGCAGATTTGGCCACACTGACCTCTGACAATATACCTACACTATATACATTATCCTTTCTCTCTGCCACCTCTCCTGTGTATTGTACTACAGCCTTTAGACATGGCAGATTTGGCCACACTGACCTCTGACAATATACCTACACTATATACATTATTCTTTCTCTCGGCCACCTCTCCTGTGTATTGTACTACAGCCTTTAGACATGGTAGATTTGGCCACACTGACCTCTGACAATATACCTACACTATATACATTATCCTTTCTCTCAGCCACGTCTCCTGTGTATTGTACTACAGCCTTTAGACATGGCAGATTTGGCCACACTGACCTCTGACAATATACCTACACTATATACATTATCCTTTCTCTCTGCCACCTCTCCTGTGTATTGTACTACAGCCTTTAGACATGGGAGATTTGGCCACACTGACCTCTGACAATATACCTACACTATATACATTATCCTTTCTCTCTGCCACCTCTCCTGTGTATTGTACTACAGCCTTTAGACATGGCAGATTTGGCCACACTGACCTCTGACAATATACCTACACTATATACATTATCCTTTCTCTCTGCCACCTCTCCTGTGTATTGTACTACAGCCTTTAGACATGGCAGATTTGGCCACACTGACCTCTGACAATATACCTACACTATATACATTATCCTTTCTCTCTGCCACCTCTCCTGTGTATTGTACTACAGCCTTTAGACATGGCAGATTTGGCCACACTGACCTCTGACAATATACCTACACTATATACATTATCCTTTCTCTCAGCCACCTCTCCTGTGTATTGTACTACAGCCTTTAGACATGGCAGATTTGGCCACACTGACCTCTGACAATATACCTACACTATATACATTATCCTTTCTCTCTGCCACCTCTCCTGTGCATTGTACTACAGCCTTTAGACATGGTAGATTTGGCCACACTGACCTCTGACAATATACCTACACTATATATATTATTCTTTCTCTTGGCCACCTCTCCTGTGTATTGTACTACAGCCTTTAGACATGGCAGATTTGGCCACACTGACCTCTGACAATATACCTACACTATATACATTATCCTTTCTCTCAGCCACCTCTCCTGTGTATTGTACTACAGCCTTTAGACATGGCAGATTTGGCCACACTGACCTCTGACAATATACTTACACTATATACATTATCCTTTCTCTCTGCCACCTCTCCTGTGTATTGTACTACAGCCTTTAGACATGGCAGATTTGGCCACACTGACCTCTGACAATATACCTACACTATATACATTATCCTTTCTCTTGGCCACCTCTCCTGTGTATTGTACTACAGCCTTTAGACATGGCAGATTTGGCCACACTGACCTCTGACAATATACCTACACTATATACATTATCCTTTCTCTCTGCCACCTCTCCTGTGTATTGTACTACAGCCTTTAGACATGGCAGATTTGGCCACACTGACCTCTGACAATATACCTACACTATATACATTATTCTTTCTCTTGGCCACCTCTCCTGTGTATTGTACTACAGCCTTTAGACATGGCAGATTTGGCCACACTAACCTCTGACAATATACCTACACTATATACATTATCCTTTCTCTCTGCCACCTCTCCTGTGCATTGTACTACAGCCTTTAGACATGGCAGATTTGGCCACACTGACCTCTGACAATATACCTACACTATATACATTATCCTTTCTCTCTGCCACCTCTCCTGTGCATTGTACTACAGCCTTTAGACATGGTAGATTTGGCCACACTGACCTCTGACAATATACCTACACTATATACATTATTCTTTCTCTTGGCCACCTCTCCTGTGTATTGTACTACAGCCTTTAGACATGGCAGATTTGGCCACACTGACCTCTGACAATATACTTACACTATATACATTATCCTTTCTCTCTGCCACCTCTCCTGTGTATTGTACTACAGCCTTTAGACATGGCAGATTTGGCCACACTGACCTCTGACAATATACCTACACTATATACATTATCCTTTCTCTCGGCCACCTCTCCTGTGTATTGTACTACAGCCTTTAGACATGACAGATTTGGCCACATTGACCTCTGACAATATACCTACACTATATACATTATCCTTTCTCTCGGCCACCTCTCCTGTGTATTGTACTACAGCCTTTAGACATGACAGATTTGGCCACATTGACCTCTGACAATATACCTACACTATATACATTATCCTTTCTCTCGGCCACCTCTCCTGTGTATTGTACTACAGCCTTTAGACATGGCAGATTTGGCCACACTGACCTCTGACAATGTAATTACACTATATACATTATCCTTTCTCTCGGCCACCTCTCCTGTGTATTGTACTACAGCCTTTAGACATGACAGATTTGGCCACACTGACCTCTGACAATATACCTACACTATATACATTATCCTTTCTCTCGGCCACCTCTCCTGTGTATTGTACTACAGCCTTTAGACATGGTAGATTTGGCCACATTGACCTCTGACAATATACCTACACTATATACATTATCCTTTCTCTCGGCCACCTCTCCTGTGTATTGTACTACAGCCTTTAGACATGGCAGATTTGGCCACACTGACCTCTGACAATATTCTTACACTATATACATTATCCTTTCTCTCTGCCACCTCTCCTGTGTATTGTACTACAGCCTTTAGACATGGCAGATTTGGCCACACTGACCTCTGACAATATACCTACACTATATACATTATCCTTTCTCTCTGCCACCTCTCCTATGTATTGTACTACAGCCTTTAGACATGACAGATTTGGCCACACTGACCTCTGACAATATACCTACACTATATACATTATCCTTTCTCTCGGCCACCTCTCCTGTGTATTGTACTACAGCCTTTAGACATGACAGATTTGGCCACACTGACCTCTGACAATATACCTACACTATATACATTATCCTTTCTCTCTGCCACCTCTCCTGTGTATTGTACTACAGCCTTTAGACATGACAGATTTGGCCACACTGACCTCTGACAATATACCTACACTATATACATTATCCTTTCTCTCGGCCACCTCTCCTGTGTATTGTACTACAGCCTTTAGACATGGCAGATTTGGCCACACTGACCTCTGACAATATACCTACACTATATACATTATCCTTTCTCTCTGCCACCTCTCCTGTGTATTGTACTACAGCCTTTAGACATGGCAGATTTGGCCACACTGACCTCTGACAATATACTTACACTATATACATTATCCTTTCTCTCAGCCACCTCTCCTGTGTATTGTACTACAGCCTTTAGACAAGGCAGATTTGGCCACACTTTCAGTATTTTCTGTAACTGTTGATTGTTTTCTACTACTAATACATTTGCCTCACTGTGCATTGCCACATATTCTACAGCCTCTGGTGTGTTTGTGGCATAGATTCCTGTGGCAAACCCTCTGAAATATACAGCAATTACAAAATCCATAGACTTTAGTATGTTATTACAGTGGCATATCAGCATAGAATGATATAATTTACAGCTACAAGCATATTTATGTTACAAGTCTAATTTTTGTGAAATGTCAATAAAAACACAATAGTTATAGCAATATGTGTATAAAAACAATTTGATACATATACAAAAGTAATTCATATTCTCAATAATCTACATCTTCTCATTTATATATTATTATTGGTAAACTCTTATTGTCAGGTTGCTCATTACATTACAGGTACTTAATACTTCAAACTTACAACTGGATTTGACTACTTTTAATTATGATAATGTGAAATGCTTATATTTCTTTCTTCAGTGTATACATTTAAATCTTTTTTAAATAGCAGTTAGAAATGTCTTCAGATATATACATATGTCGCCAGTTCAAAATTGTTGATTTTCACTTGTAAAGGGAAATAACTCAAACTATATTATAATATGAACTCTGTGGAACAGTTTAAAGTTTCAGCTTAATTTAGTTCCATTGAGGAACATCTTGAAAGTTTGGCATTAAACCATATGACAGTTTTGTGACTAAAACCCTACCCATACAATAAGCTTGGCACATATTTTTAAAAATAACTTGCTCTGTTCCTTAATGCATGAGAAATTCTGAAGTACTTTACAAAAAGGCAAAGTTCTAGTGTAAGTTCCTTGGCTTCTTTTTATGCTAAGGGTACCAGAATATTCAGTCAAATTTCTGTGCAAGCTGTCACACTGGCAAATAGTCTATTCAACTATTCCACAATTCCTCATTTGCTGATTTATACGTTAAGACGTAAAACTTCTAGATACAATTCTATTCAGAGACCATGATTTATGGGTGTAAATTTTCTCTAATTAAAAGCCAAATACAACTTGAACCAGATACCAATAACCCAAGACAGCTAAATAAAATTAAACAAGCACAACAATACATAAAAAGGACAACAGGAATTTAAAATAATATTGGATAGCACAAGAGATCATACGAACCACCAACTCCTACGAAAAAAAACAGACAAACATCAAGGAAAGTCACAGCCTGACTTGTTACAGGCACAAACTTAGTGTGCTTTAACCAGGTCTTTATTCGCTCAAACTTCATGCATAAACAAATCATAATAGCATATTTCAAATAAATTCACTACTCAATACCTACCCAGCAAATATACATCCCAAGTCTGAAATCAACCACTCTGGAGAGTTAAATCCCAATATTCCAACACCATGATATGGTTCAAGACCAAGCTGAAAACCATTATTACAATGTAAATTATTAAATATTTTGCAGACTTTCATGAAAAGATTCATGCTGAAATTTTTTAAATATCTATGAGACCACAAAAACCTACAAAATAAATCTTTTTGCCTGTATAAATGCAACTTTTATATGCTGCAATTCCTTTGCACAAATCCTAGTGAACAGGATTGTTAATGTCATAGACATATGGTTATATGCTTTCTTACAATAAACTAAATGTTTTAATACACCAGATTGCATGATGGCCACTAGTTGCAATAAAGATTTTAAAATCACAAAAGCACAAAAATGTCAGTATTCACCTCAAAAGCTAACAAAACCTTTAAACAGACTTATTCAGAAGGGATATAGTTACAATACTGTTGTCAGGTCATTAAAGATTGCATATTTTGGCTTTAATATTGATTCACTTATAGGGTCTTTGCATCGGAATTAAACATATTTATTCTAAAACCAGTTGTTGGCATGACACGGGTTATGTTCTTCTCATATATTTTATGATGGTATAATACTAAACCCCTAACAGGAGGGATTGTGCCTGATATTCATATCTTTCAATCAGTTTAATTGAGGCCTGGAGCTGGCATGTCAGTAACTGCTAGTAGTCTGTTGTTATTTATGTATTATTGTCAATTTGTTTATTTTCTTTTGTTTCCTATTCTGACATCGGACTCGGACTTCTCTTAAACTGAGTTTTACTGTGCGTACTGTTGTGCGTTTGTTTTTCCTACATTGGCTAGAGGTATAGGGGGAGGGTTGAGATCTCAAAAAACATGTTTAACCCCGCCGCATTTTTGCGCCTGTCCCAAGTCAGGAGCCTCTGGCTTTTGTTAGTCTTGTATCATTTTTATTTTTAGTTTCTTGTGTATAGTTTGGAGTTTAGTATGAAGTCCATTATCACTGAACTAGTATACATATTTGTTTAGGGGCCAGCTGAAGGACGCCTCCGGGTGCGCCATCTTGCTGCATTGAAGACCCATTGGTGACCTTCGGCTGTTGTCTGCTCTATGGTCGGGTTGTTGTCTCTTTGACACATTCCCCATTTCCATTCTCAATTTTAAGACCCATACCAAAAATTATAATCTACATGTATTGGTATTAACTATTATGCTAAATGCACATTTTTGACAAGTACAGTCTAAATAAGTCAAAAGGGATCAGATTCTGTGGATTCATTAATATTTGCGGAATTTTGCAGATAGGAGCAACCCATTAAAATATCATATAAATGCAAATAAATCCATAAAATATTTTACCATTGTATTGAAAAGAATAAATGTTTAACTTACTAATTTAGGTAATTTTGAGAGAAAATGTTTTCTCAAACAAGAAGAAGTTTTAATCCATAGTCTTTCTATTTCAATTTTTGTTATTTAGAACCTACTTTAATGAACGACTTGGCTGCAGCACACACATCAGCATAGTATTGTTGGTAGGTCCATTTCTTCCAAGTACTATCTCTTTTTACAGCTGTAATGAATAATAAGAATGATTATAAATTCATCCAATCTTCAGCGGAAGAGCATTCATATATATACACGCAGTTCCTTGAAGAGCATTCATATATATACATGCAGTTCCTTGAAGAGCATTCATATATATACATGCAGCTCCTTGAAGAGCATTCATATATATACATGCAGTTCAAAGTGAAAAAGTAGTGAAATGATACAATTGGGGTAATTGATACAAGATTTTTCAAGAAATAACAAGAAAAGAACAGTATTAATTCTACTAATAATGTTGACGATAGCTAAATGCATCTATGTTTGTAAATAAATTGCACAAGAAAGTTACCAAAATGTTAACGATCTGTTGCCATTACCCGTCAGTCATTTGTCTTCATCATTCAACATGTAATTATTTATATTTTTTTCTTTGTACTACTTTTATCAAATCTTTTCTATTATTTTGGAAACACAACATTCAAATAATAAATGAATTGTGTCACTAACTTCTTTTCTTACCATTGTGACCAGTCCCTACAGTCAAGTTAGTATGATCTATTTAAACACAGTGACCTATGTAACAGGTTAGTCTGTCTGGTTCTCTTTTGTCTGTCTACACAGATATATATATATTACCTAATGCTAAGTGATTTGGAGCTCTCTCGGAAGTCTTTTTAAACACAGTTATTAATGTAACTGGTTGATCGGCCTGGTTCCCTTTAGTTCCCATGCGTATTTTGACAGTGCCATCACGTTTTGTTGTAGACCAAGAGTCAGCAAGGACTACTTCATCTATTCCTGTAATTATACAATGATTAGTTTCAATTATCACCTTGTTATCCAATGTCAATTCAACAGCAGCAGGTTTCATCACCTACTTATATCATTTATATCAATGAGAAAAGAAACAATGGTTATAATGATATGTAATAAGGTAAAAAAAAACTGACAGTTTCTCATGTTAAAATTTTCTCATTATTATACCTAGATTTAATTAGATTACTGTTAACTTTATTAATCTACTAACAATGAGGTTTTTCTTCCAGTTTTGTTATGTTTCTTTTCCCGACATTTACCAGTGGACATGAGTTTGTGAATATACCACAACAGCTAGTGATACATTATATAGCAGATAACCTCCAGTTGGAAAATTTTTAAGTTTCCATGCGTCTGTGCATAAGTTAAACGATTTGGAGTAAATTGAGTAAACTACCTTCATACTTTTTAATACATTTTTTTTCACTTTCCAAACGTTTGGTTTCAAGTGTATCCAAGGAAGGTTGTAACAACATGTGGCATACACATGATAAATCAGGATCATGGGTATTTTCTACTGCCTCTGAGTTACTGTGGCTGAAGTCCTTGAGTGTACCATCCACCCATGCATGCTTCTGCACTGGCATGACTTTAGAGCTAATTTACTAATGCTTGTAGATTAAGACTTTGGTTGGCTTGCTTGTTTGCTTTGTATAAACATTTGCTCAAGCATTGTAATTAAGATTAACATCTGCAAACAGTATAAGCAGGCAAGTGTTAAACCTGTATAAAGTTAAATTTGATTATTTGATAATGTCCAATCAAATCTAAACATAATGTATACAGGTTTGACTCCGCCTATTCATATTGTTTGCAGATGTCAAAGTCTTAATCCACAAGCATTAGGAAATTAGCTCTAATAATACTTTCAATCTGTCATCAATGATGTAACTGTATTATTTACAAAGGTTGCATTTCAATCAAAGTTTGACCTTTTATCATTTTGATTGTTCTGCAGTTGTTTTTGGCTTGTTTTTTTCAGGTGGTTTTATGCTCAATGATTTTTGGCTCTCAGAACTTTTTGTCCCTATGTAACCGGGTGCAAGTTACTATGCACAAAAATCAATAACCGCTTATCGATATCACAAGTCATCGGACAGAACATGTGGAGGTTTGAAAAAAACTGGTTAATATGATAGCATTAACGCCTCCCTTTCCACCCAAATGTTATTCCCACTAACTTCAATGTATAAGGTATCTTGTTGCAGATCAATTTTTGATAAGGTGGACAAAATAGCCAAAAAAGGCTGCCCGACTGTTCAGTTTTTCCCTTTTGCAAGAAGCTTGAAGGCCTTGAGCAAATATGCAAGACAATACACCAGGCACTCGCACTCGTTATTCCATATAATTTAAACCAGCTTGGTTATGAAGAAGGTACTGCTTCCAAGTAGATAAACATTTTTACCTGAAAAAACAAATAAGCCAGCCACTTGAGCGTGCTGTTTTTTCCTAAATGATAACCCCTGTTTCAAACGAAAATGTATGCATAGGTTGGGATATTTTACAGAGAAACTTCTTGATACATTTGTATCTTACAGTTAAAAATTGATTAAAATTTTGACCTTGAATTTGTTTTGATAAACAGAAGCCCTGATTAGAACATTATATTATATCAACTTTACATTGGTGTGAAAATATATGTTTACTTTGGCCTATCTTCTGTCAATAAACAAAAGTTTAAAACTATATCATTTGAGAGGGTATAACATTATAGGTAGCCTCTTCAACCATACCATTCAAGGTTAAGAACCCTATTGTTAAAATCAAATTGAATAAAAGAAGAATGTGTCTGAGGACAGGAATGCCCCGTTCAAGTTTCAAATAAACGAAAATGGGACGGACTGAATGACGAAAGGATGGAAAGATGGAAAGACGGAAGGACGGATGGTCAAGGGTAACACTTAATGCCCCTGTCGCCTATGGCAGGGGATAATAAAAAAATAAAGTAATATAACCTCCCAGTTTCCACACAAATCAATATTTTATAGGAGCTATGTTTAAGATTGCTTCTAACTGTTTATCGTCAGGCTATCTTATACTTATATTAACTACATTTAGTAGGTCTCTTGTTAAAAAATATAAACAGAAAGTCAGTCAGCTGAATCAAAATTAAATGTCCTACATTTTTATATGAATAAATGTCAATCATATCTAATTGTTAAGATGTAGTCAATTCATTTAAGTCTATTTCGATCAAGTTTCTTTTTTAAAGGGCTCATATTTTGATACCATATGATAAAAGAAGTTATTTGAATCAATATTTCATCATCAGGTTATATTTTTCTGAGTACACAAGGTTGTTTCTCATTCATAAGTTTTTTCCACAACAAATTTAAAAAAAGTAAAAGTATTATCATAAAACTTAACTAACATAAAGGATGATAAAAGCTGGCAAACATTTGTTAAAAGAAAGATAGATTTAGCTGAGGGTTGTATACAGACGATACATACAAAGGGAAAAAATCAACATACAAATGTATATTGTTTGCATCTAATAGATCATGGGATAGCATCTTAAAAATCATGGGATAGCATCTGATAGATCATGGGATAGGATCTAATAGATCATGGGATAGCATCTAATAGATTGATCATGGGATAGCATCTAATAGACCATGGGATGGCATCTAATAGATCATAGGATAGAATCTAATAGATCATGGGACAGCATCGGATAGATCATGGGATAGCATCTAATAGATCATGGGATAGCATCTAATAGATCATAAGATAGCATAAATAAAACATGATATAGCATCTAATAGATCATGGGATAGCATCTAATAGATCATGGGATAGCATCTGATAGATCATGGGATAGCATCTGATAGATCATGGGACAGCATCTAATAGATCATGGGATAGCATCTAATATATCATGATATAGCATCTAATAGAGCATGGGATAGCATCTAATAGATCATGGGATAGCATCTATTAGATCATGGGATAGCATCTAATAGATCATGGGACAGCATCTAATAGATTATGGGATAGCATCTAATATATCATGATATAGCATCTAATAGAGCATGGGATAGCATCTAATAGATCATGGGATAGCATCTATTAGATCATGGGATAGCATCTAATAGATCATGGGACAGCATCTAATAGAGCATGGGATAGCATCTAATATATCATGATATAGCATCTAATAGAGCATGGGATAGCATCTAATAGATCATGGGATAGCATCTATTAGATCATGGGATAGCATCTAATAGATCATAAGATAGCATCTAATAGATCATGGGATAGGATCTAATAGATCATGGGATAGCATCTGATAGATCATTGGACATTTTTACTTCATATATAAGTTTCTTTTATTGAAACAAAACACCAGGTTAAAAAAAAAATCTAAGTCATACATGTAGCATCATTTGTCATAAGATTAGGAAGATTACATATCTCACATTAACTATATATAATTAGTTAGACATACTGTGAGCTGATTTTGAATTGTCACAGGTCTAGTATTTTAAATCTGCTCTGTCATTTAAATATCTATACTACAAAGGTATGAGACAGGCTTTACTTGGATTTTGTCATGTAAAACATGTACATGATGTATACTTTGGACTTTGCACTCGTGAAATTTTTTGCTATTTTGCGTGATCATGATTAAATTCCTGTCTGATTTTTTTCTACACTGTATTTGACATTACCGCCTGACAGTCCAGTGGACTTTAAACTTGCAACAATATATAATTATAAAAATTTTGAGATTAAATTAAGTGCTAATCAATGGCATCGAAAATTGCTGCATATATGCAATATTTCCAGAGGCTTTGAATACATTCAATTTTTTTTATTCTTGGTTGATCAAAGGTAGCTAAGGATTTTAAACTTATGTAATATGTTATAAAGTGGATAACTTTTCATAACCAAACAATCTTAAATATTTTAATATTTTTATTTTATTATTTCTATTATGAATCATTTATAACAACAAAGACTTCATCTGATCTTAAAACCTTTTGCTGAAATGAATTTAATCATCCATTATCAAATAAAATTACTCAGGAGCCTTCTTTCAAATGTCATCACTCCTAAGAGTTACAACTCCCTTGCAAGTGCCATCTATTTGGCTGTGTTGGATGTATAAATAAGCAGAAATATCCAGTCCTAATGAAGATGTTAAATATGACGACTCATTTAGAAAAGAACCCCAATTTATTATGATTTTACTGAACTACTTCTATCTTTTTTTCTTTGCTGTGTTTGTTTTCCTTATGTCATAACAACTAAATTGTAGTAAAATCTTATAAACTGGACCAAAACATGAAACAAATAAAAACAGATTTTGACTTCTTAATGTACAATGCATTCTCACCTGATGTAGATATCATTGTTCCTACAGTCCAGTACTGAACAAAATAATTCTATCATCCAAATGTAGTGCAATATCTAAATGCATCCAGTTATAGAAATTCAATGCTTATATCTCTCTATAATTTTTTTTGTTAAATTTTGAATATTAATCTCACAATTTTATTCTAGTGCAAAATTCAAAATAAATCCTGTAACAAAAAGTCACTATTGCATTCAAAACATTATAATCTTGTTACAAAAACACTGGGGTCACATTCATGTAAATATTTAATTACACACTGTTAATGAAGTAATGGAGTCCACATTAAACCTTTGTTCATAAAACAAATAACTATGAATAAAATAGCCTCGTAAACAAACACATCAGATCTAGTTGACAAAGTTTGAAGAAATATATCTTTTGCAGATTATCATCTGAACTGTGAGGATCTTGGTGGGAATATGTTTAACAAATGATATCTTATAAAGGTGATAAAACGTACAGGTAGACACAGGTGATATAGGTGGACTTGGTTGATTTGGTTGATTGATTACAATAATAATACACTTTTCTATCAGACCCATTGGGGGGTGTACAGATCAATGAATGTAATACAATGTCTTGTCATATCTTATGTTATCTAACAAGGAAACGTAAACACTTGTTTTCCTGTACATATAAAATAAATCTGTGTTGTAATAATTTATACTGATTTATATTTTAGTGTTAACATGATTTGTCTATTTAATTTCAACAGATTACAACAATTGTTAGTTTCATTTTCCAACTGCATCTTCACATCAAGTAAATAAATCAGGGAAATATAAAGATATTTTTATCATTCAAAAGACAGCCTCTGTTCTGTTGCACATGACAACAAAGGGGATACAACTCTAAGATGTCTATGGTATTATTAACATATCAGTATTAACTGTATGAATCTGGATTATAATCTAACAATAACAATTACTTATACTTTTACTTTAATGTATCTGTTTTACATTTTAAGTTTAATTTTACTTACAAAGAAATTGAAACCATAAAATTTGATTTTACAAAAAGTCAAAACACTTTAACATGTTTAATTATGTAGAATAAAATTGAGAATGGAAATGGGGAATACGTCAAAGAGACAACAACCCGACTAAAGAGCAGACAACAACCGAAGGCCACCAATGGGTCTTCAACGCAGCGGTAAAATCCCGCACCCAGAGGTAGTCCTCAGCTGGCCCCCAAATAAAATTGTGTACTAGTTCAGTGAAAATGGACGTCACACTAAACTCCAAAACATATAAATGAACTAAAATTAAAAAACATAAAAGAATGTTGTTCTTGAGGGTCAATATAGGGGAGTACTTTACGTGAGGCATAACAAACTTACCACAATGTTATTGTACATATGTATGGAAAATGGTCTTAATCCTCAAACAAACAAATGAGACTACAGAGTATTCTCATCTTTCAAATTTAAAAATTTGATTTCAAATCATTTTGTGTGTGCACAATTTGGATAAATGACACAATTCTGCTTACACCTATTTTCAAGGCTTCCATTACTCATGCCCTTTTATGTTTTGCTCAATCGGGTCTGAAACATTAACATACTGATTGTACTAAATGGAACCAAACTTACTATCAACATAGATATCAAAAACATTTTACAACTTTAAGTAGTCTGCTTTTTTTCTTAAAGAAAATTAATTTCTAAAATAAAATAGAAAACTGATGTGTTGTTCATAAATCTATCAAATTAGGTCACAGTGATGCTATTGAAATAGACTTCACTAAAATGTGTCCAACAAATAACATTGACCTTTAGCAATGTTATGGTGGTGGGTATAATAAGATATCAAGGAATAATTATTCTTTAAAAATTTACCTTCAACTGACAAAATAGTAGGCTTTGGTGCATATATCTCTTTCTGCATAACAACATCATTTTCTACTTGTTCCTTCTCTTCCTGTACTGTTTTTGTTATTTCAACAGTTTTTGTCTCTGATACTATTTCTTCAACATTTTTGTTCTCATTTTTATTTTCCAGATCTATTTCTTGCAGCGTGTTTGTTCTATTTTCTTCCGTTACCAAATTTTCATTTGTGTTTATTTTTTCAGAGGTCTGATTGTCATTGCTTTTAGTTTCTGCAGCAGTTTTTTCACAGGTCTCATTGTCATTATTTTTTGGTTCTTCGGTGGTCACATTTTCATTAGTTTTTGGTTCTTCAGTGGTCACATCTCCTTTTGTTCTGATTTCTTCATCAGTTCCATTTTTACTGGTATTAATTTCATCAGTTTCCATGGAAACAGATTCAACTTCTTCGGTCAATACACTTCCATTTTGAGTAATTTCCTCTACTTTTACATTTTCTGTAGAAGGTACCTCTTTATTATCATTAGCTTCATTAGAGGAGTCAGAGTGTCCATTTACAATGACCTCACCGTTGACCTTTCCTGTCACATGACCATTTGCAGCTCCTTCAGAAGTGACATTGATCTTTGTTACAAATGATGAGCTTCTAGAAGAAAATATGTCATCATCTATTAACTAGGTCAAGAAAAAATATGTACCTTGAAATGGATATTAAGTCAGTCAGTCTGATTTTTGGTAACTTTTACAAAATATCTCTTACTGTCGATTCATTATTATTTGTTGGATACCAATATTCTCTAATTTGGTGGGTACAATTGAGCCACTAATTAAATTGTTCAACGAATTACATATTTTCTATTATAGGCTTTTGTGCAGACTTTGGCAAAACAAAATCAAATATCCACAAAAATTGGTGCCAACATAAATAAATGAATCCACAATATTTGAATAGAGTCATCATAATTATCATATAGATATAAGAAGATGCGGTATGAGTGCCAATGAGACAACTCTCCATCCAAGTCACAATCTGTAAAAGTAAACCATTATAGGTCAAAGTACGGCCTTCAACACGTAGCCTTGGCTCACACCGAACAGCAAGCTATAAAGGGCCTCAAAAATGACTTAGTCTAGTGTAAAACCATTCAAACAGGAAATCCAACGGTCTAAAAACGAGAAACAAGAAACACTTATGAACCACATCAACAAACGACAACCACTGAACATCAGGTTCCTGACTTAGGACATGTGCAAACAAATGCAGTGGGTTTAAACGTTTTAATAGGCGCCAACCTTCACCCTACCTGAAACAATAGTGTAACATCACGTTTATGTTATCATGGTGTCTAAATTATATCTTTTTTAAGAGTGTAAAGACTTATATCTAAGTATTACAAGTGTGCACATGCTGAAAAGTTTCACTTGCTTTACTGGTTATGACTGAATTTTATGTTGAAGATCTTTAAAATCAATGTTTTACTACAGGTGTAGTTGAAACATAACTATCGTAGAGTGGTTGTATTGGACACAAACTCAGGCTGAGTAATAAAAACGTTATATTGTAATGATACTTGTATAACAACTGAAAAGTAAGTAACGTCACAACATCTGCGACGTCATACATATAGAACCTTAGCAACAACATCTCATATGCTCAATCCAGAATACTAACAATATCAATGAGCCTAGTGAGCCATGTAAACAGGACAATGACAATATGACAAGAAAAGTACCCTGTGTTGTACTACGCCAACAGGTGAAGTTGGATTTCTAACAGGCCGCCACAAGAAGGTTATTCATCCTACTCCAACACATTGTTCTGACTCTAAACAGAACAGCCTTGACTTTTACTCCTTAATGCCCTGTACTTGGCAGAGAAGAAGGAGATACTAATTTTAAAGTCTTTGGCATGATCAATCAAATGACTTCATTCACCTGTGGAAAGTTCATCAAGCATATCTACTGACTCTTACCATTACTGATGAAAGTAAATTTAGAATTGTACACTGAAGGAGAAAATTTACAATTTTTAAAATTTGACTGAAAATTAAAAAAAAGAACTTCTGAAATTCAAAACACTAAATTACTTATAAATACGATATCATCATGATCATGTTGTTTTCAGATACATACAAATCAGAAGAATCCCCTGCCTCCTTTGGTACACCACCACTGTCTGTCTCCGACATTGTAATTCCTGAAAAGTGTAATAAATCTTTAAGATAAAATATCTCCTAAAATTGTTTACTTTAAATGCAATACTTTTAACTTATATTTGTGTAGCTAGTTTTAATTTGTTCAATCATTTCCATAGACAGGATTTAAAATAATTCTTTAGAAAAAGTTAACTTAATATAATTCTCACATATTCAAGGACTGAGTTTATGAAGAATTTAAATTGATGTTGTTATTTGAACAGAATACATTTAAAAGATAGATCTTAATCAGAAGGAAAATATCAGGCCAAAAATTAGATCAAGTTTCAAGAAAAAATATTATAAATCCGTTTCAATTTATATAACATAATGTAATATACTTGTTAGGGATGAAGTAATTTCTATCAAGGAAGTTATGCTATAACAATGTTTAGTCTGCTAAAAGTCATTTGGTAAAATTGATTTAATTTTCAGTCATGAATTATTGCATGTTTCTATATCAAGGGTATGGTTTATATGGTTAAGCCTCAGCTATTTGTAAATTTTTAAGTTACATTAATAGAGTAGCATTCTGTACATAACTTAACACTATATCCTGGGTCTGTTAAGACAAAGAATTTTATGAAATGGACCTTCTTGTTTCTGTAACAAAGATAGACATATCTTATCTTTAAAATGTACTCCTTTTACTCTAAACTTACTGAAAACCAATTAATTTTTGCAAGCAGTTTATTTTCACAACTTTTGGAAGTACAAAAATAATGCAAATATAACTTGTCACAAATATGTCTTACTAGGATTTTATAATATATGAATACTCCATCAAAGTTAGAAAATGCGGATAAGAAAAGACTAATTGAGAAAAAGACTACATGTATATATGTACACGAAAATAAGTTGGTTTACAGTTTCACATACATTTTCTGTAATAGACAACATCATAAGAATATAATTTTATCCTATGCAGCAAAACAGAATAAAGTGCTGCTGAAAAAGTAAATGTACTTTCACGACAAGATGAGTGAACCAAAGGAATTGTATAAACTAATACCTCTAAATATCTGTAGAGTATGAGAGGAATGGCCAACTAAACAAGATTATTTGAAAAGAAAACAATGATAATAGTTAAACAAAACAAGAGAGCAAACACTGAAATGTCGCACCTGATTTATTAACCATGATTGATTTTATGTTGATGGTCCTAAAGGTAAAGTCTTACTGTACAAGGATCACATAAGATTAACATTATCAATGATCCATGAAAATGAGGTCACGGTAAGATTAACCAAGCCAGACAGACATGTACACCTTACAATCATTCCATACACCATATATAATTGACCTATTGCTAATAGTATACAAGAAACAGACCAAACCATGAAAACCTAATATTGACCAATGAACCATGTAAATGAGGTCAAGGTCAGATGAACCCTGCCAGACAGACATGTACACCTTACAATCATGCCATGCATCACCTGAAATAGTGTTTAAGAAACAGACTTAACAAGGCAACCTTAACATTGACCAATGTACCATAAAAATAAGGTGATGGTCAATTAAAAATGGCCAAACAGACATATACACCTTACAATAATTCCATGCAACAAATAAAGTTGAGCTATTGCTTATAATATAAGAAAAATAGACCAAAACACAAAATCTTAACATTGACCAATGAAGTGCCAAAAATGAGGTCAAGGTCAAATGAAACCTGCCAGACTGACATGTACACCTTAAAATCATTCCATACACCAAGTTGTGACCTACTGCTTACAGTATCTGAGAAAAAGACCTAATCACATAACTTTAACCTTGATCACTGATCCATGAAATGAGGTAAAGGTCAGGGGAAACCTGTCCGACGGACATGTAGGCCTTGCAAGAAACCCATATACCAAATATAGTTATCCTATTACTCATAATGAGTGAGAAATTAACATGACCAAAAAAAAAAAAAAAAAATTCAAGCAGTTGCTGAACCATGAAAATGAGGTCAAGGACAATGGACATATGACAGACACAAACTTCGTAAAATAAGGCATCTGTATACAAAGTATGAAGCCTCCAGGTTTTCTACCCTGTAAAATATGAAGCTTAATACAAATAGTTTATGTCGCTGCTGCCGGATTGTAATCCCTATGTCTTGCATACTGAGACTTTTGTTGCAGAAGAGACAAAAAAATACCTACAACATTGATTCAAACTCACAAATTTATTTATAACCTACAAAAATATATCTATATAGCAGAATTACAAAAGTTCCATAGGAAACAATGGTTGAAATTGTTAAAAAGTATAATGAAATTGTGTATTCTGCCACTGGACACAATCTTATTATCCATCCAGATGACCTCCCAATATTGCATATGGAGATCATATGTGACCCTGATATAAATATACATATAAAATCTTTAAAAAATAACCCAACATGATATAGAAACCAAAGGTAAGCATGTACAATAGCATAATAGCAATTTTCTTACTTCTCATTTGTTTTCATATCATACATAAAAAAAAAATGTAAATCCTTGGTTTTCAGGTATAAGCATGCAGAATCAATCAATGAAATGGTCTTCTTGCTGGCTTTTCTAGTTTCACTTTTTCAGGTGAAACTCTTTTCAATAACTTGACATGCTGGGCACATGTTCAATCGATCTCCAGTTGAAGTCACATCATAGATTGCATGTATACAGATAATAACATATCAGTAAAGGTTTTGCATGAGCTTATTTTGACAAAATTGAACCATACTGACTGCTCATTTAGCAAATTAATCAATATTTCGTCCTTATGTTTGAAACCAAATAAAACATACTTAAATATCATCACATAATTGTGTCAAAATCATAGCTAATACAGCATAAGGCTTCAACCAGCAGTCATGAAGACAAAATATGATCAACTAAACGTCATGGTAAACTACCTTGAACCTACCAAAAAATATCAAAACTGTTGTACTGATTTCACACTATCACATTTCTATGTTCAGTGAACAGTGAAATGGGGTTAAAACCTCAGAATTTAAAAAAATCATATCAAAATAAACACATGAAACATGTGTACTAAGTTTGAAGACTATGTGACCACAACTTCATGGTAAACCATCGTTACTTGATAAGGGACATACGAATGGATACAAGCACAGATAAGAAAATATAATGTCCCTCTTGAAGGCTGGGCATAATGAAAATAAATGCCATCCATGTACATATACATGTATGATATGTCTTGTATTCAAGGGTTTAAAATACTAAAATGCTTGGCGGGACAAAATAAAAATGTATTATAATTGCTAATTTTTCACCTGTATATATATATATATATATTTTTAAAGGTGTTACAATTCATGGACCTTATCATTTACTACAAGATCCTCCCTTCATTCACAAGTTCATCAGGTTTGTCTGGGTTTCTTCAAAATTACATTTTATAAAAAATCTATGTATCTACTTACTGTTGAAATAAGGGTTGGTCCTTCCCTGGAGTGGATAAACTCAGTGTGAAAAGGGACTACTAATTTTACTTAAGAAATTTAGAAAACAGAATTTTTTACACTGAATTTAAAGAAAAGGACTACTTTTTATGCATTGTTCAAGCAACAAAACTACAAAACAATGGTATTATAACAAAACATCTAAACTGGTCATTGTTTACCTGTATAAAGGTAAACTAAGGTGACTATTCTACCTTGTGAACACCTATCAATTAAAGTATGTTATCAGATGAATACCTATGTATTTGAAAGTGCAATAACCATGATAACTAATTAAATGATTTTTGCCTTAAATGAAATGCAACATCACACATAAACATGTTAAACAGAATTAATGACTTACCCTTGTTTTTGCTAAACACACCTGAGTATGAGGGAATCTCAGGTGAAAACGACCACACCTATGACAGAATTAACAATGATTTTAGGTATCTATTACTCCTACCATATCAAATAAAAACATGACCCAACCAACCACGGAAAGGACCCAACCAACCATGGAAGTATCTAATAATCATGTCATGTGTATCGTAGTTGTTATGTCAAATTCTACAAATTCCTACCAATCACAGTACTATGTAATAACTGTTTTAGGTGAAAGTCTTATAAAAATGTAACAATTTTTGCATAAAAAAATGTCACCTATTTTTTTAAGTATGACAATATAAACAAATGAAAAATTTATATAAAGACATAAGGATTTGGTTTAAAGTGAAAAATTTCAATTATAAACACAATCAAAATGTTTTTTTTTTAATCTAAATACAAAACCAAAAACATTGACTGATTGATTGTTACTTAATTGCTTAAAGTCCACGGACAATTATTTCATGCATATCCAGGACAATAAAACCAAAGCATACTTGTGGCTTCTATATTTACCTTTACCATGATTATTGCCACTGGACGTAAACATGGTAAAGCAACCAACAATCAATCAATTTACCTTGTTATTAACAGGGAGTGTGAATACAAAAAATTAAAAAATAACAAAATGTCTTAAACTTCAATGTCTGAGGAAATTGGTTCTTATAAAGTTTTTATTCAAACAGTATAATTTTTATGTAAATTTCAGTGAACATGGTTCTTACCTTACAAATGTAAAATACTGGAAACTTGCTATTTTTATAAAATTTTAATTGTTTACTTCCTCTTTTAATACATCCTTATTTTTAATCATCTACTTATACATACTTAGTTAGTATTAGAATTTTGCAAAACATTTCTAATCTTCATAAAGGCTACTTCACAATAAAGACTAACAATCTTTTCTTTTTCAAATATTCAAATGGATTTCAGGCCTTTCAGAGCTTATAATACTACATGAGATAGTACTCATTGCAGAAGGCAGGAAGGTTGGTTTAAACAAGTACATTGTAGTTCTAACATCTAACTTGATAAAACATTATTTCCCCCCTATAGACCTTGCAGAGCTAACAATTAAGGATTAAATGGTGGTCACTGATAAAGCTATAATGTCTTTAGATCATCCTATGTTTTTATGTTTTTTTTAATTTTTTTTTATCTTTTATTAAGACTAATTTGGTTTTTGGTTTTCGAGGTTATTTTGTGTTTGGTGTTTTTTTGTTTTGTTTTTTTTTTTTTTTGGGGGGGGGGGGGGGGGGGGGGGTGTTATGCAGATTTAACAGTGATAATTTTTTTCACTCATTCATATCAATGACCTTAAATATTTACTTTCTTGTCCTGTGATAAGTGAGTGTCTCTCTCATTAGGGATTATATTTCATTTCCGTCATAGTTTCTAAATATTGTTGACATTACTGATGTCATTTCCTGTGTAGTTAAGTCTTCACAGAATCTGTCATCCGAGTTCATAGTTTTATATACAAAAAAAAACTACCTATACACAACATTTATTCCTGAGTTAATATTTTTTTTAAATACATGTAAATCTGAAACTATTGTCAAAATATAACTGGAAAAAAACATGTGACAGGACAAAACATGTGTCTAGGTTACCCAGAATAAGGCAATGTGCTAGGTATCTGGGTAAACAAGAATAAAGCAACAAATATACAAAAGTGTTCCACCTTTCGAAAACTCCCCTATTATTTCATATATTAATAAAAATTCTATTGAACCTATTTCTCGTCCAAATTGAATGATTTTTTTTTTTCATCAAATACAGAAATGTGTGCAGTTTCTTGCAAAAAGCATTCTGAGAGTATTGCATGGCAATACATAGTCCCCTACCGGTTAAGAATTCATTGTACTGGAACAAAATGCTAACTTGATCTATAACTTGTCATGGTGTAAACTATATAACAAATTTCTTGAAGTCAATTTCCTCATTGTGAAGCATGAACAAAAAAATGTGGAAAACTGATTATTTGAGTGAATTTTCTAAGTCCAAGGACCATAACTCTGCACAAAATCATCAGACCTGAACATAATTCGACCTTGATCTGTAACTTGTCATGATCAAAATATATACTAAATTTCAAATCAATATTTTAAGCATGAAGAAAAAAAGTGTGGAAAACTGATTTGCCGGACTGACGGATGGACAGACAGACGGACGGAGTGCAAACCTAAAGTCCCCTTCGACTTCGTCGGTAGGGGACTAATAATTATGAAATATGTATGATTTATATTTTTAGGAAAATCACTGTTGAAAGACAAATACAAACTTCTGAACAAAACAATCATATGGCTATATCATGTATATAGGAAACAAGAGTGCACAAACTGAAATGTCTCACCTTCTTTACTGACCATTGATTTTATGTTGATAGTCCTGAATATAAAGCTTTACTACAACTATCACATAAACTTAACATGATCCAAGAAAATGAGGTCAAGGTCAGATAAACCAAACTGGAAATACATGTGCACCTTACAATCATTCCATACACCAAATATGCTTTAAATATAGTTGACCTATTGCACATAGTATATCTAAGAAACAAACTTAACCAGGAAAACTTAACATTGATCAATGAACCATGAAAATGTGGTCAAGGTCAGATGAACCCTGCCAGACAGACATGTTCATCTTACAACCATTCCATACACCAAATATAGTCGACCTATTGCTTATAGTATTAGAAAAACAGACCAAAAAACAATAAAGAGCTGCGCCATGAGCGCATGATACGCTCATCCCTTTAACAAGAATAAAGTTCCATAACTCCTCAATGTCATATCAGAAATTTATAAACAAGAGTGCACACGCTGAAATGTCTCGCCTTCTTTTCTAATCATTGATATTATGTTGATAGTCCTAAATATAAAGCTTTCTTACAACTGTCACATAAACTTAACATTAACCAAGAAAACTAAACATTGACCAATGAACCATGAAAATGAGGTCAAGGTCAGATGAACCATGCCAGGCAGGCATGTACAGCTAACAATTCTTCCATACAACAAATATAGTTGACCTATTGCTTATAGTTTAAGAAAAACAGACCAAAACACAAAAACTAAACACTGAGCAATGAACTGTGAAAATGAGGTCAAGGTCAAATAAAAACTGTGTGACTGACATAAAGATCATAAAATATTTCCATACACCAAATATAGTTGACCTATTGCATATAGTATTAGAAAAAAAGACCAAAACTCAAAATCTTAACTTTGACCACTGAACCATGAAAATGAGGCCAAGGTCAAATGACACCTGCCAGCTAGACATGTACACCTTACAATCATTCCATACACCAAATATAGTTGACCTGTTGCTTAAAGTGTAAGAAAAACAGACCAAAACACAAAAACTTAACATAAGTAATGAACCATGAAAATGAGGTCAAGGTCAAATAAAACCTGCCAGACTGACATGTACATCATTAAATATTTCCATACACCAAATATAGTTGACCTACTGCATACAGTATTAGGAAAACAGACCAAAACACAAAAATTTAACATTTAGCAATGAACCTTGAAAATGAGGTCAAGGTCAAATAAAACATGCCAGACTGACATGTACATCGTAAAATATTTCCATACACCAAATATAGTTGACCTACTGCATACAGTATTAGAAAAACAAACCAAAACACAAAAACTTAACATTGAGCAATGAACCGTAAAAATGAGGTCAAGGTCAAATAAAACTTGCCAGACAGACATGAACATCGTACAATATTTCCATACACCAAATACAGTTGACCTATTGCAAACAGTATTAGAAAAACAGACCAAAACACAAAAACTAAACTATGACCACTGAACCATGAAAATGAGGTCAAGGTCAGATGACACCTGCCAGTTTGACATGTACCCCTTACTATCATTACATACACCAAATATAGTAGACCTATTGCTTATAGTATCTCAGATATGGACTTGACCACGAAAACTTAACCTTGTTCACTGATCCATGAAATGAGGTCGAGGTCAAGTGAAAACTATCTGACGGGCATGAGGACTTTGCAAGGTACGCACATACCAAATATAGTTATCCTGTTACTTATAATAAGAGAGAATTTAACATTCCAAAAAATCTGAACTTTTTTTTCAAGTAGTCACTGAACCATGAAAATGAGGTCAAGGACATTGGACATGTGACTGACGGAAACTTCGTAACATGAGGCATCTATATACAAAGTATGAAGCATCAAGGTCTTCCACCTTCTAAAATATAAAGCTTTTAAGAAGTTAGCTAACGCCGCCGCCGCCGCCGCCGGATCACTATCCCTATGTCGAGCTTTCTGCGACAAAAGTCGCAGGCTCGACAAAAACTAAAGGGAGGTCATTTTAATAGATACAAACCAGTCACCAAAGTTTCATGAACTGCTCAAAGACCTTTTGATTTATTGTCCGAAAACTGGAAAATCACCCTTTTTTAATGAATAAAACCCATAACTCAGAAAAGTAAAATCTAAAATTTATAAAAATCGAAAGGGAGCTCACGTCAATAGATATAAACAATTCACCAAAGTTTCATGAAAACTGCTCAAAGCATTTATGAGTTATTGTCCGAAACTGGAAAATCACCCTTTTTTAATGAAAATAAACCCATAACTTGGAAACATAAAATTCAAAATTTATAAAAATTGAAAGGGACCTCATGTCCAGAGATATAAACAATTCACCAAAGTTTCATTAAAAAACTGGAAAATCATCCTTTTTAAAATGAATAAAACCCCATAACTTGAAACGTAAAATCCAAAATTTATAAAAATTGAAAGGGAGCTCAAGTCCATAGATATAAACAATTCACCAAAGTTTCATGAAAACTGCTCAAAGCATTTTTGAGTTATTGTCCGAAAACTGGAAAATCCCCCTTTTTTAATGAATAAAACCCCATAACTTGGAAACGTATGAAAGGCAGCTCAGGTCAATAGATATAAACATTTCACCAAAGTTTTATGAAAACTGCTCAAAGCATTTTTGAGTTATTGTCTGAAAACTGGAAAATCCCCCTTTTTTAATGAATAAAACCCCATAATTTGGAAACGTCTTCTACCCTCTGAAATATTACGC